ACCTTCATGCTAACGATAATCCGGGGTTGATTATCACGCAGGTCATCCTCAAAGGTGAAAACTACGAAGAGTGGGCACGTGCAATTCGTACCGCTCTTCGTGCTCGGAAGAAATTTGGTTTCGTGGATGGGTCAATCCCGAAGCCCGGTGATGACTCCCCCGATCTGGAAGATTGGTGGACCAATAACTCACTTCTTGTTTCCTGGATCCGGAACACGATTGAGCCGTCACTCCGTACGACGATCTTGCACATGGAGATGGCGAAAGACCTATGGGATGATATTAAGGCCCAGTTCTCCATTGTCAATGGCCCCCGTATTCAACAACTCAAAAGGGAATTGACAACGTGTGATCAACGTGGCTTGACTATTGCATCTTATTATGGTCGTTTGAAGAAACTTTGGGACGATTTGAATGACGTTGACCCATTTCCTACTTGCGAGTGTGGTAAGTGCACGTGTAACCTTGCTCAACAATTGGAGAAAAAGAGAGATGAAGAGAAAGTGCATCAATTCTTGATGGGACTTGACGAAGCTTTGTACGGTCATCTTCGTTCGACCATACTTTCACAAGAACCCTTTCCCACTACAAGCCGGGTGTACCGCATCATGACGCAGGAAGAAACTGCCCGTGCCGCCCAGAATCGTGAACGCCCCGAGAACGCCGTCTTCGTAGCTCGGACTATTGCCATGGATAGGTCACACGAGAAATCTGTGACCTGTTCACATTGTAAAAAGACAGGCCACACCAAAGACTCCTGTTATCAAATCCATGGTTATCCGGAAGGCTGGGGACGTCATGGCGGCAGTGGTGGACGAGGCGGGCGTGGGCGCGGCGGCAGTGCTGGCAGAGGGGCTGCTGGACAGCCGCAACATGCTGCTCATATGGCGACGGGAGGGCTGTCAGGAGGTAATTCCAGCGGAGAGACTTCTACTGGGGAAGTTGTTCCCTCTTTATCGGCCGAGCAGTGGGAAACATTCAAGGCACTTCTAGCCTCTGTTAAGGACGTCTCGTCTGAAAAATTATCAGGTATTCCTATTACTAAACGATGGATTATAGACACGGGTGCAACAAATCATATGACAGGAGACTTACAATGCTTGATTGATGTACGGTCTATATCGGGTTATTGGATTCGTTTACCGGACGGAAGGACGGTAACAGCTACTACTTCGGGCCGTGTTAGGCTAAATGACTCCGTCGTTTTGAATAATGTTCTCTTTGTTCCTGATTTGAGTTGTGATTTACTATCAGTGTCACATTTGATCAAAGAGGCTAATTGCTTGGTGAAATTCGACGGTTCATTATGTTTGTTACAGGACCGTACCACGATGCAGGTGATTGGTGCGGGTAGACAATCGGATGGCTTATACTATTTTCAGCAAGCATCGATGGGTAGTGCATTATCAACCGTAAAGGAATGTCAATTTGATCTTTGGCATCGGCGTCTTGGACATCCGTCACCAAAAGTTTTATCTTTTCTATCAGTTGCTCGTGATAGTAAATTAAGTACTTTGAATAATGGACCTTGTGCTATTTGTTTACGTGCAAAACAGTGTCGTGCATCTTTTCCTTCAAGTTCTAATAAAGCTACTGCATTGTTTCAAGTTATTCATATTGATGTATGGGGTCCGTACAGGACACCTAGTTTAGATGGATTTACATCGTTTTTGACTATTGTGGATGATTTTTCCCGTGGCACTTGGGTTTATTTACTCCGTGCAAAATCTGAGGTACCGTTGATCTTTCGTCAGTTTTATGCTTTGATTGATCGCCAGTTTAATAAAAAGCTAAAGATTGTACGAAGTGATAATGGCACTGAGTTCGAATGTCTTGATCCATTCTTCCGAGAACATGGTATTTTGCATGAAACATCGTGTCGTGGGACACCGCAACAAAATGGTCGGGTCGAGCGTAAACATCGACACATTCTCAATGTCGCTCGTGCCCTCCGTTTTCAGGCATTCCTTCCGATCGAATTTTGGGGGGAGTGCGTGCTTACTGCTGCGTATCTCATCAACCGTACTCCTTCCACTGTATTGAATGGCAAGACCCCTTATGAACTTATGTTTGGTTGTCCACCGGTATTGACACATATTCGTACCTTTGGATGTTTGTGTTATGTTCACAATCAAGATCGACATGGAGATAAATTCGAGCCTCGTAGTGTGCAGGGTATTTTTTTGGGATATCCCCATGGGAAGAAAGGATGGCGTGTTTACTGTCGAGACACTGGAAAATTCATCATCTCCCGTGATGTAATATTTCATGAAAATGTTTTTCCATTTCAGGAGAATTTTCCTTCCGCCACAGCTATTCCAGTAGCCAACCCCCACATGCCATATTTAGATGATGAAGATGATGTTGGCGTTCGGCATTCACCAAAAAAGGGGGGCCGTATCTCTTCTTCGCAGGTTAGTGAACCTGCTGCTGCTTCTGCATCAAATCCGGCGGCCCATCTCGAGACAGAATCTGCCCAGCCGTCGGATGCTGCCCAGGTGCCGGATGCTTCGACTTTACCCACGACGGCAGGAGCTCAGAGCTCGCAGGCGTCCACTGATCATCCAGCCACCGTCATCCAGCCAGAGATTCCAGCCGACCAGCCGGTCCCTTCCCGTGCTGAATCCTCGTCTACTTTGGGACGCGGTCATCGTCAACGAACACCAAATGTACGGCTCACGGATTATCAAACGTATGCCGTCACACATGAGGTCTCCAATGATGTTCCTGATTCCAGATATCCTTTAACGCATTCCATTGGCTATGCACGTTTTTCAGCTTCTCATCGAGCTTATTTAGCCGCCGTCGACTCCGGTTCTGAACCACAGACTTATAAGGCAGCCATAAAATCCCCGCTTTGGCAGCAAGCCATGTCCGAGGAAATTGCAGCCCTTGAAAAGAATGATACTTGGACACTCGTCCCATTGCCACGTCACAAAAAGGCTTTGGGTTGCAAATGGGTGTACCGTATCAAGCGAAAATCTGATGGCTCCATCGAGCGTTACAAAGCTCGGCTTGTTATTTTGGGGAATCACCAAATTGAAGGGATTGACTACCAAGAAACCTTTGCTCCAGTTGTTAAACTCACTACTGTTCGTGTTCTTCTTGCTATTGCTGCTACACGCAACTGGGAACTTCATCAAATGGATGTTCACAATGCCTTTCTTCATGGCGATTTGATTGATGAAGTTTACATGCGTCCTCCACCGGGCTATCATTCACGCACGCCAGATCTGGTGTGTAAGTTGCAGAAGTCCCTTTATGGTCTGAAGCAAGCACCACAGTGTTGGTTTGCCAAATTATCTGGAGTGCTGCGCAAATATGGATTTGTTCAATCCCACTCTGATTACTCATTGTTCTCTTTCCACCGAGGTCCTTCTGTGGTGCATGTTCTTGTCTATGAGGATGATCTGGTAATTGCTGGAAATAATTCTCTTGAAATTTGCCTTTTCAAAAAATATCTTTCCGATTGTTTTCATATGAAAGATTTGGGTGTTCTCAAATATTTTCTTGGCATCGAAGTTGCCAGGAACCCTACGGGTATCTTCTTGTGCCAAAGGAAATACACTCTTGATATTCTTTCCGAGACAGGCTTGCTTGGATGCCGTGCACTTGGTGCTCCTTTGGAACCTAATCACAAGCTTGCTTTGGCCACTGGCCCCCTTCTTCATGACCCGGGCGCGTATCGGCGTCTAGTCGGACGGTTGGTGTATTTATCTGTCACTCGTCCAGATCTCTCTTATGCTGTTCATACGTTGGCCCAATTTCTTCAAGCGCCGAGGATTGACCATTGGAATGCCGCCCTAGGCGTGGTTCGATATTTAAAGGATGCTCCCGGCCATGGAATTCTTTTACGTTCTGATAGTTCTCATCACTTGACTGGATGGTGTGATTCAGATTGGGCTGCTTGCCCCTTGACTCGTCGTTCTTTGACCGGTTGGTTTGTCCAACTGGGTGTGTCGCCCATCTCTTGGAAAACAAAGAAACAACCCACTGTGGCTCGCTCCTCCGCCGAGGCTGAGTATCGCTCTCTTGCTGTCTTAACCTGTGAGCTTAAATGGTTACGTGGGTTATTGCGTTTTCTTGACGTTTCTCATCCCGCACTGATGCAGATTTTTTGTGATAGTACTGCTGCACTTCATATCGCTGCTAATCCGGTATTCCATGAGCGCACTAAACATTAGGGGTGAGCGTGGTACGGTATGGTACGGTATTTAGTCTGTACCGATACCGTACCAAATATATCAGTTCGGTATGGGATTTGACATCGTACCGATCCCGATCCCAAAATATCGGTTCGGTATGGTTCGGGATGGTTCGATTTTGGTTTCGGTAAATATTGAGACGAATATATATACTTACCTAGTTTATACTTTGGAATGTACAAAACTTTTTATTTAAAAAAATTCGAAAGTGTATTCAAATAAAAGTAAGATAGACAATTGGAAAATGAATAATTAAATGCAAAAATACTTATAAAACTTAGTTTAATTTATACTTCATATTTTACAAACAAAAGAGAATGAATGATAAGAAAATAATACGGAGTAATTCACATATTTGTTAAATTTTGTTATATAAATCTACAAAAAATAAAATTAAAATAAATGATTATATAAATAAAAGATTATTTGTAATTCATCTACACTTGAACCAACTTTTCAAAATCAATTTATTTTTGAATGAAGAAATATAAAAACATTGTTATTTTTAGAACGTATTTGTATATATGTTCGGTTCGGGATTTTTCGGTATGGGANTTCGTACATCTCATGTTTCCACTCATAATCAGTGTGCAGACATTCTTACAAAGGCTCTTGGAAAGGGACGGTTTGATGCTCTACTTCCCAAGTTGGGCATTTGTTTGTTACACGCTCCAACTTGAGGGGGGGTGTTAGAGAATAATATATTAAATATTATTTAATATATGGCTTAGCATGATTTGTGGAGATAGAGGAGCACCGTATGCATGCATGGCGCCATTCACGGAGATTTCATTCCTTGTTAATATTGTTACCTATTTTATAGCTAGTTTATGTATGGTAGATGTGTATATTGAATAGGTTTCCTTGTGTAAATCTAAGGCTATATATGTGATAGCCGATGGCATAAACAGCAGTTTTGGAAATATAATTTCTATACAAAATCTTTCAATTGGCAAAATCAAGTTGGAAAAACATAACCAAATGAAGTCATACTTCATCCCCTCAAGTCTCATTTTCCATAAGGTGTGAAACATATATATTTAATGTGAAATTCACAATAGATAATGTTTTCGTTAGTGTTTTTGATTATTTTTTTAAGAGTACAAATTAATTTTAGAAATGTTAGGATTAAATAGTCTTTTCATAAGCTTAAAGCTTAGGCAGATCTATTGCTAGACTTAAAAATACAAAGAAGATAAAACCTCAATCTCTAATAACTCAGAATCCCATTGTAATGTCGGAGACTTCCTGATCGGCGGCGGCGGCGGCTACTTCCTTACCCACCACAGATGTCTTATTATCCGGCACGGCAGAGGCGGGTCTGGATTTGACGGCGTCGAGCAAGCGTTTGCTGACCTCTTTGGAATAGGCCTGGAGGATCTCGATGCCTTCGTCGCCGGGAGTAGCGGCGGCAGCGGCGGCGTTGAAAGCTTCCTTCTCAATAGCCCTGGCGAGTGCAGAGCCCTCCTCCGGTGGAATGGTTCCGTACCGCTCCGTCAGAACAGACGACCCCGTAAGCGTCTGGATGAGGCGGTTAACGACGGCGCCGCGGGTCCTCTGGCCCGGCGGCCAGATGCTGAAGGAGAAGTCCATCGGATTCCGGGAAGCGTCGGAAGCGGATTCGCGCTTTTCCGGTGGCTCGACTTGTAGGTGTCGTTTGTTGTCGGACATTTTGAAATTTGAATTGCAAAAACAAAGTCTGCGCAGAATTAAATTTCAAAAAATATGGAGTATTTATCTTTACTGTATTGGGCTTGGACCGCTTGACAGGATTATGGGCTGTATCAAATAGGCCCCAACTTGGGGTTGTTTTGTGTTATTCAAATTTGTCATTTCCCTTTTTAAATTTCAAAAGATTATTTCTTGATATCTTGAATTATATGCATCCTTTCGACTTATTTTAACAATTGATGCATTTCGAAATATTTTTAACAAAAAAAAGAGGATGGTTTTGACCATTATTAAGAAGGAGATGAGGAGGCATATCTCATAACTTTTAATTTTTTTTAAAGAAAATTCTGTTTCAAGAAAAAATATCTCAATCTATACCAAGATTATTGTTTTGCTTTCTTGAAAAATAGCTCAACTTTTGCAATGTTAAATGATAATGCAGCCCCCATCAATCTATCATTCCTTTTCATACAGCATGGATTGCACACGATGTTTCTTTTTCGTTTAAAAACACAAAATGCTCTTTCAATATCTTTTCTTGCTACCTCTTGTGACTCCTTGAAATATGTTCTTTTCTCATCTTCCACGCGGGGGCATGTAAATAATTTCACAAGCGTCGCGTACTCAGCATAAATGTCATCACCAAGATAATATCCATATTTATAATAGGTGTCATTATAAATAAAAAAAGTCAGAGGTTATAAACATCATCAAATATTGGAGTTTGATCTAGGAAATTGTTAGAGTGCATCCCACATCGGAAATCCAAGAGTAAAATAATCCGGTATATAAGCTCTTGAGTTAAACTAATTAATCGATTGGATTCAATCTTTTAATGTGGTTCGACCCAAGTGTCTTATTACCCAATCAAGTTGTCCATACCCATCCCAAATTCTATCAGAAATTGATATCGTTACACGATCCTGCAACACCAAAGTACGCATGTCATATCCAAAGATCATTTGAAGCGACCTCTTCGAGCACTAATGTTGGACTTGGGGGTGATCACCGTGTTAATGTGACTCTCGCCAAGCCGTGGGCAATTTTTCCATACCCAGTGTGTACAATCAATGCTTCCTAGCATCCTAGGAAAACCATGCACATGCTCATGGGCGGTATATACACTACAAGAAAATGCAAAAACAATGACGGAAAATGGCGACGGAATGCTTTCCGTCGTTATTAGGGACGGATATAGCGACGGATATGGGCTGCCTACCAGACTTAACAATGGATTTTAAGTTCCGTCGTTAAGTATAGGCGGGAAGTAGTGTGCGCTGCTTTTAACGACGGACTTAGTGACGGATAATAAGCGTCGTTAGATTGGCGACGGAAAGAAACGTTCGTTGAGTTTACTTTATTTTTAACGATGTCGTTTTAGGTAGCGACGGAATAAAACCGTCGCTACATTCCGTCGCGGAAAACCAGATCTTAAATCGGTTTCCTTCCCTTTCACCAGACAAAAAGATCGAAGAGCAGAGGAGAAGTCGTCCAAGTCGCCGTGGTTGGCAAATATCTACAATCGTATAGATTGATGATGCTACTCGCCATTTCAGCAGTTTTTTATAGTGATATCTGCTGAATGTCTCTACACGACGACGTTGGCAAATATCTACAATCGTATAGATTGATGATGCCTAAAAATAATTTTAAGTCATGTACATAACATTTGGAAGTATTTAGACGTATGACATATTAAACTAAAAATGATTTACTTATGCTGGAGTTAAAAAAAATTACCTTTACAAAAATGAGAAAAACTATCACGAGAAATTTTGTCTGACATCTTAAAATACTCGTCCCATGAATCGCTTGCGGTGCCAAATGCAAGTTGTCGGATAGCGCTTGTGCACTTATGCAGCGAGGTGAATCCTTTTGCTCTCGTATCATCTATCCTTTGTTGAAAATTGGAAAAGTAATGCTCCTTTATTATGTCGTTGACAATAGAATTGAATAAATTGCGAGTGATGCGAAAATGATGTTTAAATTGATCACCGTTATAAATTGGGGTTTTTGAAAAATAATCTTGAATTAGGCGTTGATTGGCAGCACCACGGTCCCGGATGGACCTTCTCCGATGCGTAATCTCTTGGGAGGAATTCTCATTATAAATAGCTATGATAGTGCTGATCATAGCTTCAACGGAACAGAGAAACAAAAATGCTGAATCGTCATCGGAAGACGATAACTGGTTATTTTTTTCATCCAAATTCGTCCAATTTTTTTGTGCCTAAAAGCTATATTTATTTTTTTTAAAAAAAAATATATAAATTTAAAGGCTACAAAGCCATTGGAAACGGCTAAATCCAGCGAAAAGAATCGGGGCAACGCCTGTGGTGGCAATCAAGCCCCACGCGTAACACCGGCCGTGTTGCGAGTGTCAAGCCATAACACATGGTTTGATAGAATGAAGATGTGACGCTCCATGAAAACGGTCAAACGGATAGTATGAATCAATAGCCCATAGCATTATGCGAATAGATGCGCGGATAACACTATACATGAGGGCTGGTCAACCAAGAATCTTCAAAAGCAGAGCTGGGTCAATCTTTTTCTGCTCTCTGTCAATCTTAAAATTCAACATTCCGAACTTTCTTCTCCGCTGTAATTTCTTCCATCATATAACAACGCCCTAAACCTTAGACTTCACTGTGTCTTTCAATTTCAATGTTTTCCGATCATGATCCGTTTTCTTATGTTGTTCTTCGCGGTTCTGTCCTTTTCTTCCCTCGTTTTCGCCGCCGTCGACACTGTTCCGGAAGGCCGTGTTTTCAGAGAGGGCGAGAACTTAACGTCGTTTGGGGGGAAATTCGTGTTGGGGTTCTTCAGTCCGGAGGGAACAACGAACAGGTACGTCGGAATATGGTACAATCACATTTCTCCCCTGTCCGTCGTTTGGGTGGCTAATCGGGACAAGCCACTCCGGCACCGGAACGGGAGTTTCGGAATCTCCGGCGACGGTGATTTCGTCGTTTTGGACGGAACGGGTGGGGACCCACTCTGGAGAACAAACGTCTCTGCCACGCCGAATAATGCTTCTCTGGTTCTAACCGACGGCGGAGAGCTTGTGATCTGCACAGACCCAGAGAGGATCAACGGGATCCTGTGGCGGAGCTTCGACAACCCGACGGACACATTCTTGCCGGGGATGAAGGTGAACGTTTCAACCGGAGAACGGAAAATCTTCACTTCTTGGAGGAATCCCGGCGACCCTTCCCCGGGGAGGTTCACCATGGGGATCGACGGCAGAGGATCGCCGCAGATCGTGATTTGGGACGGAGAGAAACGGAGATGGAGAAGCGGCCATTGGAATCGACTGGTCTTCTTGGGTGTGCCGGGTATGAGGGCAATTTCGGTATACGGTTTTAATCTGTACAATGACTTCAACGGCGTCTACTTCAAATACACCCCTTCCAACCCTTCGGATTTTATAAGGTTCTATTTCTATTAACGCATTCATTGTTCAAATCATACCAATTTTCAACACAATTTTTAGCACCAAAACATGGAAAAAATATATACAATTAGAACTACAACGTGATTCATATTTCAAAATGTAAAATTGTGTCACTTACCTATGCAACATCCTATTAAAGCATAATACGTAGTAAAAACATAAGATGTCTTATTTTTGTTACATGACAGATTCATGGTTGATGCGGAAGGTAACGAGCTGCAACAAAAGTGGGACACGGGCAAGAAGGAATGGAGTGAGATTCAATATCAACCATCTCTTCCGTGCGGGATTTACAACCGGTGTGGGAAATTCGCGACGTGCGACTCCTCGTCAGTTCCAAATATCTGTAGTTGCATGCACGGATTCGTTCCAAACAATCAGAACGAATGGGATTCAGGGAATTGGTCAGAGGGTTGTGTGAGGAGGGAAGAATTACAATGTCGTCGCAAGAATAACAGTAACACAGACAATTACATTGGCAAAAGTGATGGATTTCGTAAAGTCAAAGATATCAAACTGCCAGATTTTGCAGATGCACAAGACGATGCAAGAAGTGAGGAAGAATGTAAAAAGAAGTGTGAGGAGGACTGCTCTTGCAATGCATATGCACTTGTTGATGGAATCCCATGTATGATATGGAGAGGTGACCTTGTTGACATGCAACAGTTTGAAAGAGGCAGCGGGAGCACTCTTTCCCTTCGTCTTCCTTATTCTGAACTAGGTAAAACAACCTTGTCAATCAAAAGCTCAAGCCTATGATTTTAAGTCGAGAAAATTTTTGCATACTCTAACACGAATTCATCGTTTAAACAGGAGATAAAAATAGGAGAAGGACAATTATAATAGCAGCCACCGTTGGGACATCTGCAGCCACATCCCTTGTTTCCTTAGCCATTTGGATAGTATATAAGAGCCGATCAAAGAGAAAGAGGGTTGAGGCAGAAAAACCTAACGGCAGTGGAGAGTCCCCTACGGATTTGTCCGGGGAATGCCAAGAAGGGAAGAAAGGGTCAGATTTGGTGATGTTCTGCTTCAGCGCCATGGAAGCCGCCACCAATTACTTCTCGCACGAAAACAAGTTGGGACAGGGAGGATTCGGACATGTCTATAAGGTAAATTAAATCAAATTAAATTCCTCAAAAGAACTTGATTTAGCAAAAGATAATGTGCATTCATATATATGTTCAGGGGGTGCTACCAAGTGGTCAAGAAGTAGCTGTAAAAAGATTGTCTAGAAAATCAGGACAGGGGGTGCAGGAGTTCACAAATGAAGTCACTGTGATTGCCAAGTTACAACACAGAAATCTTGTTAAGCTTTTAGGCTGCTGCGTTGAAGGAGACGAAAAGATGTTACTTTATGAGTACATGCCAAACAAGAGCTTGAACTCTTTTCTTTTTGGTTAGTTCACCTACCAAATATTACTCTCTACCTCCGGATTTAGTCATTTGTTTTTTAAATGTTTAGTTGGTAAAGAATTGTTTTTTGAACGGCAGATCCCGCAAAGCGGGGCGAGTTGGACTGGACAAAGAGATACCATATCATCGAAGAGATTGCACGAGGGATGCTCTATCTCCATCGCGATTCGAGACTCAGGATAATTCATAGGGACTTGAAGGCGAGCAACATTTTGTTAGATGCTGAGATGAACCCCAAAATTTCGGACTTCGGCATGGCTAGGATATTCGGAGGGAACCAAGGGGAAGAAAACACGAACAGGGTCGTTGGCACTTAGTGAGTATTTACTCTATTTGATAATAAGATTCCATAACTCACTATCTAGACTATTTGACTCTAGAGTTAATTTACTTATATATTTTTTGTAGCGGCTATATGGCTCCAGAATACGCAATGGAAGGCTTGTTTTCGGTGAAGTCTGATGTCTATAGCTTCGGTGTCTTATTACTAGAGATTGTTAGTGGTCGAAGGAGCGCGAGCTTTCGATCAGGCAACCACTCGGGCATTGTAGAATATGTAGGTCACACACAGCAACGCTTATATGTTCAATAATTAAGTTACAAAACTGAAGAATTAATTAATGTTCTAAAACAAGTTCAATTTGTTTTATTGGATAAATATAGGCATGGGATGAGTGGGATCAAGGCAAACCAATGAACCTAATGGACCCTTCCATCTTTAGTTCATGTGTGCCACAGCAAGTGCTGAGATGCATACAAATTGGGCTTCTTTGTGTCCAAGACTTGGCGGTTCACAGACCAAATATGTCCGCAGTGGTGCTGTTTCTTGAAACCGACAATGTGGCTCTGCCTGCCCCGAGACCGCCCACGTACACCGCCTCCATGAGAAGAACAGATGGTGTTGATTCTTGGAACCAGAGCGAGGATCTTCCTAGCGGCAACAACATCACTCTTAGTGTTATTGTTGGTAGATGACACGGCTCGTCTTGTGCAAATCTAATACTCAGTTAACAACAAACAATTTGAGGAACTACTTAATTAACATGAATGGGATTTACTCAAAGTTTAATGATGGGATATTGTAGAATTAGATATGGAGTAGACCCATGCAATTTGAGAGCATAGACAATGACAAGTCGTATCTTGGAATGCCACGCAGTGACATGACACAATACAAACAATCAAAAAATGCATTGTCACACAGTGACATTCTAATGAACTAACATCCCTTACAGTGACAAGTATTAGATTTTGTTAATGTTTACATTTTTGGCATACTTTAGTTAGTCCATGGGTGTTTTATTTTTTACGGAGTATATTATAAGTATTTTTTTGGATCTTCTTGTAAAAATTTTAATTGTACTAAGAAAAAATTAATATTTTTAAATTATTTTAATTAAATTGCATAATTTCATATGAAAATATTGATTTTTGAAAATATATATTTTTAGTTACAAAAAAGTATAGATTTTTTTTTAAAAAGAAAGCAGATTGTAATGAAAAAAGACGACTAAAAAAGGGTTAGATTATTTCTAAAGAGTTGGATTTGAAAAAAGGAAAAAACAAAAAAAAAAAAAAGATTGGAAAGCATTGTCACCCATTTGCCACGGATGGAGGATGGATCGCCGATAGACAGTGGTAGATTCAGAAAACATGTGGTCTGGGAGATGAATAATAGGGCAGGGTACGGGGACAACGCCTCTATAATTTATTTTGAAAGACAACGTGAAACGACATATATAATGTTGAATTTCATCTCAATGTTGTGAATCACTATGCATAACTTATAATTAAGTAAATAAGTAATTTAAAACTTAAAACTTACTCATAAATTAATTAAAATATCTAATTTTTAGTTAAAGATTTAAAATGTTTGACCTTTTTTTTATTTTGCACTAGTGAGATATGGAAAATTAATGGGGATATGTTATCTATTGTTGGGGGGCGTATTTAAAACAAAAGTATTCTTAAAGAATTTTTAAAGTCACTAGGGGAAAGTGTCCCCATTGCATCAAACATTGAATGCCTCGTCCTTCAAGGCAAATGCAGACATTGCATGGTGAGGCAAAACACTGCCACACTGTTACACATGCTTTGATAACAAACTTTAACAAGAACAACTTACAAAGGTATTGTAGAATTGGTAGGAGAGAAATTAAGTTAAACACACCGTCCAACCCTTTCACCTTTGCCCCCTCCTACTCGCTAGCCATTGTCTACACCCGCCGCCCATCTGACCACCCACCAACCCATCCAATTCAACCGGAAAATGCTAGAGTCACAAACATAAAGTTCACAAACTTCACAAATTTGCCTTTTGTGGATTTTAAATTAAAATATCTTTTATTATTTGAGTCTCCTAGGAAAGTGTTAAAAAGACAAATTTGTGAATTTTGTGAACTATTTGTTTGTGACTCTAGCATTACTCAATTCAACCTCCTCAACTTTACCCCCACCCCATTGTCATCCGTCTCTCGGCAATCCATGCCATCTGGCCCTGCCCCTCCCCCCTACTTGACGCCAACACCCCACTCTATGTTGCTTTGCCTCTTTGCTAAAGTTAAATTGTTTTGAATTATCTTTAAAATGTACTTTTAAATATTAAAAAATATTTTTTTTGAAAGGCTACCAAACAATGGAAAATATATTTTTCCGTCAAAATCATTTTCTTTTGAAATATATTCTTTTGAAAAAGTATTAAACTTTTAATAAAATTATATTTAAAGAATATTAAAAATTTAGAATCTTAATGGGTAAACACTATTTTTTGGTAAAACAAGAATCTAAAATGAAGACCCGAAGCAACAGCCGCCTCTATGTTACACAAGAGTCAAGACACGCTTGAGAAAAGTCAAATGGAACAAAGAAAATAAAAACATGCTCTGTATAATTTCATTCTCGTTTTTCCACAAACCCACGATATATGTGAACACCGGAGAACCCAGCCTGCGAATTTTCAAAGCAACCAATTCAAGGACGATGACCGCCATGAAACCCCATAGCTACCGATCCCTCTGCTTCTTCATAATCCCCCACCTTCTCATCTCCATAGCTAATGCAGTTGACACCATCACTCCCGCACATCCCCTCACCGGAAACCAAACCTTAGTCTCCGCCGGCGAGCTCTTCGAATTGGGGTTCTTCAATTCCGGAGACTCCGGCCGCCGGTACCTCGGGATATGGTACAAGAAAATCAAAGACAGAACAGTTGTGTGGGTCGCAAACAGAGACAGCCCACTCACGAAATCCGCCGGAATCTTGAAAATCGGCGAGGACGGGAACATCCATTTGATCGACAGTGCCGGAGATTCAATCTGGTCATCCTCGTGGAACCGAACCAACACATCCGCTCCTAGAAACATATTCGCCCAGCTTCTGGATTCTGGGAATTTCGTTCTTGCCGGAGAAACAGGGGATGATCTGTGGCAAAGCTTTGATTACCCGACAGACACATTGTTACCAGGAATGAAGCTGGGATGGGATTCCAAGACCGGAATAAACCGATACATTTCGTCCTGGAAAAGCCCAAAAGATCCGGGACAAGGGGATATAAGCTTCAAGCTAGACATTAATGGCTACCCAGAAGCTTTCTTGAGGAATAAAGACTCAATCTTTTACAGAAGCGGAGCTTGGAATGGAGTCCGGTTCAGCGGAGTCCCGGAAATGGAGACAGAAGGAGTCATCAGCTTCTCATTTAAGACGACAAAAGATGAAATCTACTACACATTCCAGATTCACAACCAAACCCTGTACTCGAGATTGATCGTGAACCAGACCGGGTTTCTGGAGAGGTACACGTGGGTCCCGGAGAGCGAAATCTGGAACAGATTCTGGTACGCGCCGAAAGACCAGTGCGACGAGTACAGGGAATGCGGTCCGTTCGGGCGGTGCGACGCCGACGGTTCGCCGGTTTGCCAGTGTTTGACCGGGTTCAAGCCCAAAAACAAGCAGGCCTGGGATTTGCGAGACGGGTCGGGCGGGTGCGTTCGGGTCAAGGAGTTGGGCTGCGGCGGCGATGGGTTTATTGCGTGGAACTACACGAAGTTGCCGGAGAGTGGGGGCGCGTTTGTGGACGAGGGGATGCGGTTGGACGAGTGCGAGAAGATGTGCGTTGGGAATTGCTCGTGCACGGCTTATAGCAGCGCCAATGTCAGCGGCGGCGGCGGGTCGGGTTGCGTGATTTGGACGGCGGAGCTTCTCGATATGCGGAAGTTCCCGGCGGAAGGTGACCAACTTCTCTACGTCCGGGTGGCTGCTTTTGATGCAGGTATTCTTTTTTTCCTTTCACATTTGGGAGATTTTTCGCACGTTTATTCATCTCCATATATATATTTTGGGTTAAAATAAAGTTTTAAAAAGATCATGTAAAAAATGATCCTTACATAAAATGAAAATGTTATCCATCATGAAAAAAAACCATAATACATGACATAATACTTCATCTGTTTCCCATAGATCTTTTCACTATATTTTTTAATAATTAAAATATCATAATTACCCTCACTTACTTTATTTATTAGACCTCAAATACTTCATTTAATATACTCTACCCATTTTCATTAAGGGTATTATGATAAATTTTCACTTTTTTTCAATTTTTTTAAAAACCACATAAAGTCAAAATGAGAAGATCTTAGGGGGATGAAGAGAGTAATATAAAATCTTACATGTATTATTAAGAAGGCAAAATTCACAAGAACACTCCCAGAAATTAGAGATTTTACATAAATACTCCCAAATTTGTTTATTTACACAATTACTCCCACATTTCTCTTTTATTTACATCGTTACTCCGCGATTGCTTCATCATCATTGTTTCTCGGGTGCCTCTTTTTATACGAGGTTCTTCATCTTTTTTTATTGAATTCAAATTAAATTAATATGAACAGACTTGATATTAAACATTAAAAAGATTTAAGAAGTTTGAAATCTCAATTTTTTTAAAAGTGATGAGAAATAAGGGCAATAATTAGGCTTACTAAGACGTGAGAAAGACGATGGAGAAAATAAGTTGAGGTGAATTTGGTATATTAGAGTGGAAAAATACATGTCTGCATTTTAACTGTTCACTTAACGTAAAAATGACACATCTAAGTAACACTAATGATCACTACCAAATTTGGGAGTAACAACGTAAATAAAAGAGAAATATGGGAGTAATGGTGTAAATAAACAAATTTGAGAGTATTTATGTAAAATCTGTAATTTCTGGGAGTATTCTTGTCAATTTTGCCCATTAAGAATATCATTTCATACTAATCAATCTAAAATTATATAGATAGTTAAGTTTATAGCACTCCATGTTGTTAAAGTTTACATTTTAAATGCTAGACTAGTCTTCTTCTATACTTGAACTAGAAAAAAAGTATAAATCTCATTCTGAGGCACCTCACAGTTGGTCAGATGATTATCTGAGATGATAAAAATTACTCCCTCCGTCCTATATCTTTCTTCCCGTTGCGCAAAATGAAGAAAAATCTCAAGTTTTTTCAATCTATTTTATTTAAATATTGGTATAGAAATAAAAAATAAAACATACATATTTAAAAAGTAAATCAAAAGTTCAACAAAACAAGTGGTGACAAGAATATTTTATTTTATCATTTAGGACATGAAAAAAAACAAAGAGAGTAAATATAAATTTCCGTGAAATTGGAATAGTGCTCTGGGAAGAAAGTTTTAGGACGGAGGGAGTAAAATTTATTCAGAAATTGACAGCAAAGAGAGTAAATCAAATTCAGAAATTGACACTTGTTATTTACAAATATCATATATTTAGCATAATTATTTCCGAACACAACGGTTAGAAATCAAATTCGAGTGTTATCCTCTTAGATCCATATACCTTACCAATTTTGCAATGACCACTAAAATAATCTTAGAAGAAGTAAATATTTTTGTTGGAACGGGTTTCTTCTAGTCTAGAATTATATAGCTCCATGGTATGGTAGCATGACCCATTAGGAGTATAGGGCCATAGGCTGCTTACTTTAAGTTGAACAACTTCTTTTCTAAATTATAAAGTGGGCCCGAGAAGAAAATATTCAAGACGTGGCACCAGCTATGGGCGGTCAATCCGGTGTTGGGTTTGAAAATTGAAATATGAGTCCATTTCTTCAACTTCAAGAGTTTGTAGTTTGGTTGGACACGATCCCGATTTCGGAATAGAACTGACCGTTTTGAAACTAAAATAGAATTGTAATCGCTAGAGCATTGAGACCGCTCGTAAATTTAATATTAACCAATCTTTTGGTATCAACATCGAAACTGGCCGGAACCGAAACCGGTTTAGATTTTTTGTTTTGTTTTTAAATTTTTAATGCTTATTTTCAATTTATTGAGTTTGATTTTAATATTAACCACGAAGAAAAGAGTTGGAGTCAATTATATAACTATTTTACATACAATATTTTAAAAATAATCATGTACTCGTATAATCAGTTATATGATCGTCCAAGTATTAAGAGACCCAAGACCAACCCCATTTAATATTAACATCTTAGATTTTAGACCGAGTCTAAAAAATATTTCATACACATTTTAAAAGTTTTATGGAACGGAAGAAGTAAACATTAACAATTGATCTTTTATATATTTCCATGAGATATTATTATGTTTTAACGTTTCTTTAAACACATTTTTTCATATTTATAGAGCTGGCAAATCGGTCGGTCAGGCGGGTTCGGGTTCGGTCACTTCAAGTTCGAGTTATTTTGGGTTCGAGTTAATTCGGGTTCGGGTTGAGAACTGTATGTTCATGACCCAGTGTCATCGGGTTCGGGTCGACCCAACGGGTTATGACTTNCACTTACATTTTCTATTAAATAAATTTAAAATATAAAAAAAAGTACTAAATCTATAAAATTATATTATTTTAAACTCTAAAGTAGTTTTTAGATATATAAATCAATATAAGGAATTTAAAAATGTTTAAGTTTTGGAAAATAGTAAGATAATTATGCAATATCATTAAAATTTTGTCTGAAAATATAAATTTATACACTAAAAACAAGTAAAAAAAGTGTATAATTTTGAAAAATTCTTAGTTTAGCGGGTCGGTCAGGTCGAGTTCGGGTTCGGTCGGCTTTGACCCATTTTTAGCGGGTCATTTCGGGTTCGGTCAACTTCGGGTTCGGTCATCAAAACCTTTGTTCAAAACCCAGTGTTTTCAGGTCGGGTTTCGGGTTAAAAACAGGTCGGGTCACTTTTTGCCAGGTCTACATATTTACATGTTACTTTATAGGAGATGTTTTTTTTAAATTTTTTTTAACAACACACTTTTAATTTTTTATATATTAAATAAACCGCTAGCTCGACCAATGGCTTACATATTGTTTTATATATGTAAACCAAACCGAATTGAACTTTGACCTTCGATTAGATTTTTAGTTTTGGGTAAAAACTAAAATCACCACTGGTTCACTAGTATCATTATGTCAAATCTGATGTTGAAAACTCTTAGTTTGGATCATATGGGAAGAGTTATGGTTCCATTAGTAGTTAGTTACACCAATGTAGACAAACACGATTTAGGTTACATTTCTAGTGAAATTTTAAAGAGGATGTTTCCCAAATGACACTTAGATATTCAACATTATATTTCTTTTCAAATAATTATGAATGGTCAAAATGTTGAACGAAGTTGGGTAAATAAGTATTTTAAAATCTGCTAATAGTGCAAATTACTAAAAACCTACAAGGTTTAAGTATAAAATCTAATTACTCATCAACGTGTTGTGATTTCAGAACAAAATGGTAATGCAAAAAGGTCTGGACAGAGCTTTGGCAAGACAAAAAAGATAATCTTGGCATGTAGCATCACACTTGGGATTGCCCTTATTCTTTTTGCCCTTTTTATGTGGGAGAAAAGAAGAACAAGGAGAGCCTTTGCAGCAAATATATACCTCAGAGGTAATAATACTATACATTGATTTCATATGTGCATAGGAGTTATTGGGACCACGCGTACCTTCGTCCTAACCCTACATTAGTATAATATCGTTCGTTTTGGACCAAACCTTCATTAATTTGTTTTCGTACACCTCCCAAAAGGATAGTAATAGGTTGGGTTGAACCTATTTATTTATTAGGTCTCTTCTTTCTCACACGATGTGGAAATGATTTTCTTTTCGCAACAGGAATTCATATCTTCTTGAAACAGGTATAGGAGAAAGAAGTGGAGATCTTCTAATGAATGGAATTGTTATTTCAAAAAAGAGAGAGCTTTCTAGGGAAACACTCAAGGAAACAGATGAGTTGGAATTACCATTGTTTGATCTTGGCACCATTGTTGTGGCAACAAACAACTTTTCCAATGAAAATAAGCTCGGCCGAGGTGGTTTTGGTTGCGTTTACAAGGTAATAATAAGTCATTTTCTCAACAATAATACTAGTACATAATTATAGAATATCTTAAATATTATCGATGAAATATACATACATTAGGGAAGACTCATTAGCGGTGAAGAAATAGCTGTTAAAAGGCTATCAGAGAAGTCTAGCCAAGGAGTAGAAGAGTTCAAAAATGAAATCAGATTGATTGCCAAACTCCAACACAGAAACTTGGTGCGGCTTCTTGGCTGCTGTGTTGATAATGAGGAGAAAATGCTTGTATATGAATACATGGAAAACAAGAGTCTTGATTCTTTTTTGTTTGGTAAGCTAAGTTCTTATCTTTTTTATGTGACGGTGTAATATATCAAATGTTAAGAGTACTCTTTAATTGTATTCATGAGCAAATATTTGTGTTGCATTTTATCTATTCAGTTCCGAAATTAACTCTTTTATTGCGTTCAGATAAAGAGAAGAGCTCATTGCTCGACTGGAGAAGGCGATTCAACATCATTTATGGAATTGCTCGTGGGCTTTTGTATTTGCATCAAGACTCGAGGTTTAGAATTATTCATAGAGATCTTAAAGCCAGCAACGTTCTCCTGGACAAGGAAATGAACCCTAAAATATCCGACTTTGGCATGGCAAGAATATTTGGAGACGAAACGGACTCCAAGACTACAAAGAGAGTAGTTGGAACATAGTATGTAATCAACGAAATCATTACTTCAACTCAATTCACATACAGCATCCAATATCTTCTTTGGAATCTAACATTTTACTTTTTTTGTCAGTGGTTATATGTCACCAGAATATGCAATGGACGGGCTATTCTCAATGAAATCCGATGTTTTTAGCTTCGGAGTTCTTGTGCTAGAGGTAGTGACCGGGAAAAAGAACCGAGGGTTCTATCAACAAAAGGACAACGATAACCTTTTGGGACTTGTAAGTTTGTTTGCTTTTATGCCTTTGGTTTCAAAAATATAACTTTATCCATCCGACCATTAATTAGATTCGGGTGTATGAGTTTGAGCATGGTATCCTCCTTTTACAGGCATGGAAATTATGGAAAGAAGGAAGGGGATTGGAGCTACTAGATTCAAGTTTGAGTACAGAAACACATTCAGGATTCAATAATAATCAAGTCATGAGAAGTACACAAGTGGGGTTACTCTGTGTCCAGGAGAAAGCTGAAGATAGACCAACAATGGCAGCAGTAATATTGATGCTGAGAAGTGAAGAGGGTTTTCTTCCTCAACCTAAACAACCTGGGTTTTGTCTTGGTAGTAGACCGTTAAAAACGGATTCGTCATCTAGTGTTTATAATGATCAATCTTCAAATGAGCTTACAATTACCAAGTTGGATGGTAGATAATGAACATAAACTTGTAACATATATGGTTGTAATTAGCATTAAGTTGTGGATAATTTTTACATGGTTATGATTTACTTTAAAAACACTAAGACAAAAGGGTACATAGAGGCATGTCAAGTAGACATCTTAGTGCCTCTTTTGCTAAAAACACTTGACCCACACTAGCACTGTCAAATGAGCACAGAAGTAAAATATATGAAAAACATGAACAGAGTAATATTATGAGCATAATCAAGCAAGAGTGAGTACCTTATTTGCTAAAAGGTGAACATCCTCTTCAAAGAATGCCATATCTGTAATCCTATGGAAAAAAATAGATAGAAGTGGAGGTTATTAAAACAACAAATATAAGTGTAGCAAGTAAAAGATAGAAGTTGAGGTATATAAAACAAATAAAGTGCAACAAATAAAGTTGAGGTAATCCTCTGCAAAGAAATCTATATCTATCAAAATTCTAGCGGCTACCAAAAATATAAAGTGCAACAAATAAAAGGAATAACATACGTCAAACAAAAAAGTTCCACTTTTGATTTGACACGAAGATTAAAAAAAAGTATAACCGAGTGTAGGGCATACATTTTCAAAACTATATATTAAAATTAACTTAATTATATTAAATTTATCTTATAATTACATACGTAGTATATTTTTATTCAAAATTTAAGAATTTATGTTTAAAGTTTGTAAAAATTTGACCGAAAAATATTAGATATAAAAAATATTTTTGAATGAAGGGAGCAAGTTTTTTTTGAAATAAGGGAGTAAGATTTTTCGAAGAGCGCGCATGCGAGCGGCGAGGCATTTCCTCGTCTCGCTGTGCCACATCAGCTCAAATATTGTTTCATAATTTGCCATGCGAGATGTCTTGTAGGTTTTCTTTTATTTTTTTTAGTAGAAGAAAGAAAATTTTTAAAAAAGGAGTACATCTATTTAAAAAAATTAGTGAAATAATTTTTAATAATTAAAATATTATAAAAAGTAACAAAAACAATAATTGGTCACTGCATGAGGTGTCACTCCACTCACTTACCAACTACATTCTTTTTAATTGATTGAAATATCTCACGTCAACGTGTAGTATTCCATTTCATTAGTTGCCAATTGGTCCTAGCATGCTCTTGAGGGTGAACAAAAACCGCAGAACAGAGCAAGATTTTTATCTGAGAACGGAGAGGTCACTGTTACTCCTCACCTTCGAGCATTTAATTTTGGACGATAGGAAAGCGACCTTCAATCTTAGGCACCAGGCTGTATCCGATCAGAGCAGGTTAAAGTTGCGGCCACCGCAAGAAATCTGAGAAAATGTGGCAAGACAATCATCACGATGTCTTCAGGAATCATCGTTTTGTTATTCGCATCAGCTTTGTCGTCACTTGTTTCCTCGTACGGCCTCACCGACACCCTCACCTTTAACCAAACCCTCAATGATGGGGAGTTCTTGTCCTCAAAGGCGGCGTCTTTTGTTCTTGGATTCTTCTCCCCTGAGAAATCTTCCGGCAAGAGATATGTCGGAATCTGGTTCAAGCAAATTCCGGATCAAACCGTTGTTTGGGTCGCTAACAGAGACAACCCCGTCAACGGCACGACGGGAATCCTCTTCATCGACGCAGCCGGGAATCTGGTTATCCAGGACAACCGAACCGGCGTCTCCGTCTGGAACACCAGTCTTTCTTTTCCGGCGGAGGGTAAGAGAGTAATTTACTCTGCTCAGTTGCTGGACACCGGGAATCTGGTCCTGTATCGCGACGACCCGAATAGGCGGGTCGGATCGTGGCAGAGTTTCGATTACCCGACGAACGTCTTGATCCCCCACATGAAGTTCGGCGTGGACAGGAGAACCGGGTTGAACCGGCACCTGACGTCGTGGAAGTCGCCGGAGGATCCCGGGTCGGGTCAGTACGAATTTAAAATGGAGCTGAACGGGACGCCCCAGGCGTTTCTGTACCGGGGTTCGGACCCGGTTTGGAGAACCGGGTCGTGGAGCGGATCCGGGTGGAGCGGGGTGCCCGAGATGTCGCCAAATTACATATTTAACCTCGACTACACGGAAAATAACGATGAGGTCACGATGAGTTACTGGATCCGGGACCCGACGATACACTCCATATTCGTTCTAAACGAGTCGGGCACGGTGAACCGGATGACGTGGCAGGGAGACGACGTGAAGAAATGGGTCAAGTTCTGGTCCGCCCCGAGGGACGCGTGCGACGCGTACGACCACTGCGGCGCGTTCGGCTACTGCAACACCGAAAACCCGACGGCGTTCGAGTGCGGTTGCCTCCCCGGATTCCAGCCGGTCTCCGGGAGAGAGTGGTACCTGAGAGACGGCGTCCACGGCTGCCGGAGGAACAACACGGAGGTGTGCGGGAAGGGGGAAGGGTTCGTGGCGATGGCGCGCGTGAAGATACCGGACACAAACACGGCGCGCGTGAACCGGAGCGTGGGGCTGGAAGAGTGCGAGGGGATTTGCCGGGAGAACTGTTCGTGCAGCGGGTACGCGGTTGCTAACGTCAGCGCGGGAAGTGGGTGCGTCACTTGGTATGGGCCATTGTTAGATATCAGACAGTTCCCAAAGGGAGGACAAGATCTTTACATTCGACTCTCTGCATCTGATTTGTTAGGTACTTTTAAAATCAATCTTTTTACACTCTTTTTAAAAAGCAAAGGAAAAAATATGTCTTATATGGATTTAATAAAGTACCGGTCATGTTAAGATGTCTTCAAATGGTTGCTACATCCATGCTTCGTACGGATGACACAGACGAAACACGGGTGATAGCAAATATTTGGAGGCACCATAGCGTTTTTCATAAAGTACGGAGTAATTTTTTTTGGATTTCAGGACAACATGTGAAGAAAGCTAAAGGGCTTCAAGGGAAGAGGCTCGTTGAGGCATTTGTTTTGCCTGTTGCTGCTGTGGTTCTTGCACTATGTGCTTTCATGATAAAACAAAGGAAAGGTATATATATATATATATATATATATATATATATATATATATATATATGAACCAACCATGTATACATTGTAGTGTTTTATGCATACAACTAGCTAGTACTGTTTTTCTTTTAAATTTTTATGCATGTCACCACCATATGGCTACGAAATATATGGAGTTATATCGTTTACGTAAAGGCTAATTATTGTGTTCCAGGCAAAATCTTTCAAAGCACACTTACGGGCAACATAGGCAGTACTAGTTTAAAGTCACCTGATTGGTCTACTTTGGGAAAAGATATGAACGAAACTGGAGAGACGGATGTGGTGATGTATGATCTCAGCGCAATCAAAACCGCGACGGATAACTTTTCTGATGCCAACAAACTCGGTGAAGGCGGATTTGGTTCTGTTTACAAGGTTACACATACCCAGTACTTAGCTTGCATTGTGCACGTCTCTTCTAAAAAGAACTCAATTAGTTTGATAGGGAGTTGTTATTTTACAGGGAAAGTTTCAGAATGGCGTGGTGGTAGCGGTCAAAAGGCTGTCAAGAAATTCAGGGCAAGGGATTGTTGAGTTCAAGAATGAAGTGACACTTATTGCTAGGCTACAACATAGAAATCTTGTGAGGCTCTTAGGATGCTGCATTCAACAAGGAGAAAAAGTGTTGGTCTACGAGTACTTGCCCAACAAAAGCTTGGATAGTTTTATATTCGGTGATATTCTCTTAATCGATGCATTAATTAACGTTCTAACCAACATAAACATTAAATAGTTACCACGTGCGAATCGTGCAGATAAGACAAATGGAGCATCTCTGAATTGGAGTGAACGCTTTGAAATCATTTTGGGAATCGCCCGAGGATTGTTATATCTTCACCAAGATTCTAGGTTAAAAATCATCCACAGGGATTTAAAAGCCAGCAATGTTTTGTTAGATGCTGCCATGCAACCAAAAATTTCTGATTTTGGAATGGCCAGAATTTTCGGAGGAGATCAAATTGAAGCGAATACGAATCGTGTAGTCGGGACATAGTAAGTTATCACAACTACTCAAATCGTGTTACTCTATCGAGCATTGAGTGTTGGAGTTGGACTGACTTTAGTGCCACCGATGCATTGCATTTTTTTTAATGTGTCGCAGTGGTTACATGTCGCCAGAATACGCAATGGAAGGTCACTTTTCAGTAAAATCTGATGTCTTCAGCTTTGGCGTTATGTTATTGGAAATTGTGAGCGGGAGGAAGAATAAGAATCAATTGAACGAAGACTCTTTGAATTTAGTAGGAGATGTAAGTGTCTAACGAACACTCACACACGCAGTCCCCAATACCGTTTTTTAATATTCGAAGCATAATTTCAACGCTTTTTTATCAGGTTTGGGATTTGTGGAGTGATGAAAGACCATTGGACATAGTCGATCCATCGTTGGGGGTATCGTATAATAGCCGAGAAGCGGTGAGGTGCGTCCACGTCGGGTTGTTGTGTGTCCAGGCATTTCCAAATGACAGACCAAGCATGTCCCAAGTGGTTTTCATGCTAAGTAATGAAACAGCTCTCCCTGTTCCTAATCCACCGGGATTTGTTTTCAAACTGCCTGGGAATGTTCCTCCATGTTCTTCGTCATTAAGTGTTGGGACTGGGAACCAAACTGTTAATGATGTTTCCATTACAAGACTCGAAGGTCGTTAAACACCATTATGCCATTGTTAATGTGTGACTAATTAAGTTAGATTGGTAATGATATGTCTGAATTTGTAATGCGTTTATAAATGTATGCATATATATAGGAAATTTAGGTTTATGATATGTCCTGTATATGCATGTGGGATTTTGGTTATAGGTGAAGATGAAGAATATGAAAAATGAGTACAGTTGAGATGTTTTTTTAACATCTTTATAAGTTTTTTTCTGTCACACATACATTTTTTAAGTTTGTCATTTGAGTGACAATATCATTTCTTATAGTGTAAAAGCTAAACTTTGTTCTGTAAGATGATATAGTAACATTTGTATTTATCAAAATAGTTCCACATAGTACTTTATGTTTTACATTAGTTTTTTGCTTTTTACTTTTTGTGCATCCAAAATCATTTATTCGCTTACAATATTTATCAAGATTAGATTAAAATTAATTTTAAATATAATTACAATCAGATCAGAGTAGATCAAAACATACTGTAATCAGATCAGAACCAATCAGATAAGGTGCAGAGAACATGGCCATAGTTCGATCGATATATATAATCAAATTACTACCCCCGTCCCTGAGTATTTGTCCAGTTTTAACTTTTTACAGTGAATAATAGGGAGAAAGACCAAAGTAGGACTAAAACATTGAAAATATATCAAAAGAGGACTTCTATATTTTTATTTTCAAAATAGGGCTTAAAATACATTTACATTATCAAACATGGTCATCTACATTACCAAAAAGTATAATAATGTGCACATGTACAATGTCTCATTACCACAGTGTGAAGTCCTATTTCGGGGAAAAAACATGAAAGTCCTATTTTGGTACTTACTTTATGTTTTAGTCCTATTTAAAGTGATTTCTAAAAATAATACTCTGTATTTTGAAAATATATTATAAAATGAATCTAATAAAATTATTCTTGTATCAAAATTTGCCAATTTTGATTGAAAAAGTCAAAAGTTGACAAAATAATCGGAGACCGTAGGAGTACAACATTTAAATATGCAAGATACGAATATGTTACAAGTTGTTACTATACAGTGCTCTAATGTCGCAGTACAAATTTCTATTTTGGAAATAAAAAATGAAAATCATATTTTACTCTTATTTGAGGTGATTTCATTTTCAATAATTTTTTTAAAACTCTCTCTTAATTCAGATTCCAAAGTGAGAGGCTAAAAAAATCTCCCTGTGCCGAATTATATTACAATTTTTTTCTCCTCCATATATTTTTTGTTTATTTGTGTGTTTTCATTGAGTACTTGATAAAATAAAATACTATTATCATCTCTACTTTTGTAGAACTTTTGATGTAAATTTTAATATTTAATTTTTATTTTCTTATTGATCTACCAATTTCTAAATAAATTAATTTCAAAAGACAAGAGTTTTTATCTCGTAATTAAGTCCCAATTTGTAATCAAATTAGGAACGGGAAAGTAATTGGACACCAATGCCCAGCCCTCTCATCCACTGTCAAACTTTAGGAGGTACACTTTTGTGGGGGGCTTACGGCGGGATTGGGGTGGGAGTGTAGGGGTGGGGGTAGGGTAAGGGGTTTAGGGGGTAGGAATCGTCAATTTTGCGAACGGAGCATCGGAGGTGCCCAAAATGCCAGTGACACCGGAGTGACACCGTACTCTGGTGTCACTAGAACCTCACCGATTTATCATACTAAATTGATTAATGCACGAAACCAAGCTAATGAGGATCCCAAAAGGCATAATGCATAACCCCTAGGTAACAAACACTTGCTGCATGTGGCATATTTTGCTAAGTCATCTTTCACCTTATTTTACCATACATGAACATACTCGACCTATTAGGTTATTAGTTAAAATCTCACCCTCATCATCATCTTCACCCAACATATACATTAATCTCATTAACTATTATTCCTCTCAATCTCAATATCTAGCAAGAATCAATTAACCCAAACCATGGCATCCATGATAATCTCTCCTCTCCTACAGTCCACCATTTTCATCCTCCTATCTTTCACCCATCATCACCAAGCACATGCCCAACCCAATACCAATGCACCCTCACCAACGCCATGGCCAATAGACATCACCGCCATTCTCGAAAAGGCCGGAAGGTTCAGCATCCTCATCAAGTTCATGGACAGAACCGGCCGGATAGCCACCCAGATCAACACCCAAGTCATCACCTCCGCCCAGGGCGTCACGGTGTTGGCCCCCACCGACGCCGCCTTCGGGGCACTCCCTAGCGGGGCCCTCAACCGCCTCTCCGTCCAGCAAAAGGTTCAGCTCATCCAGTACCACGTCCTCCCCAAGTTCTATTCCCTCGACGACCTCGAAACCGCTACCAACCCCGTCGGGACTCAGGCTAGTGGGTCCGACGGGGGCAACTTCTGGCTCAACTTCACCGGCGGGATGAGCAACCAGGTGAACGTCAGCTCTGGGGTGGTGGAAACCCAGGTGTCTAACGCCTTGAGACAAAAGTTCCCTCTGGCCGTCTACCAGGTGTGTTACACCCCCAGATCTAAAGTTATTTCACGGTATACCAAAAATATTTGTGAAAGGGGTAATTTCATTATTTGATGAATTAGGTGGACAAGGTTTTGCTACCTCTGGAATTCACAAGGGCCCCTTCTGCGGCGGCGCGAAAGAAAGGGAGCGGCCGTGGGGCCAACAGAACCGTTGCGGCCGCTCCCAAGGAGCCCATTACCACCGACAATAATGAACCGTCTCCCGCCGATAATCACGGCGGTGCCGCAAGGATTAGCGTTGGTTTGGCTTCTGGAGTGGTCTTCTACTCTTGCATGTCACTTCTCTGATTAATTACATTTCTTGAAGAATTTATTTGGCAACTAAATTAATATAATAAGCTAAGAAAACGTTAATGTTGCCTCACTTTTGATTATAATTGTGCTCTAATTATGTGCATGGCTGCCACTAATATTGTTGTGTAGCATAGTTAAGATCAAATGTGAGGTGGTTATAACCATATTCTTAAACGGTTCATATATTTTTCTTTGGATATATGTATACTTATCAACCAATGGCACCATAATTAAGAAATGAGAGGAGGCACAAAAGCAAGTAATTTGAAGAGATGTATCATGTATGAACTGTCTTTCTTTAATGTGATTATTTTTACAGCAGAATTTAAAAGCTAACTTAAATTGTTTCTGATGAGTTGTTTTTCTGATGAGTTCGTTCTCAAAAACACTTTCTTCTTTCATTTTTTCTACTTCTAACAAAACATTTCCACTTTCTATTAAAAAATTACTTTTACCTTTACTTTTTCAAACCCTACCTATCACATTATACTTTTTTCTAATAATCTATCTATTATATCTTAGTTTTGTCTATCACATCGAGGATAAAATTAGAAGTCAATTTTTTTACACTTTAACAAACTAGGAAATGTTTTTGAGAACAAAGAAACTAATTTATTAGAAGGGAGTAATTTTTAACCAAAAAAGTCATAGGTTGGTGGGTCACAAGTCTCCCAACCGCTGCTTCGGAAACGCCTAAGTGGTTTGGTTAGTCATAGCCATAGGTTGGTGTTGCATATCGAACACGTACGACCACTGCTTGGGTATTTTTTCTAAGGGGTTCTTTTTATAATATTCTTCGTCCCAAATTATTTGTAATATTTCGAACGAACGATGTGTAAAATATCATTTCTTATAAAATCATTATATTTTTAATTTGGTAGAAAATGAAAAGTAAAAATTACACCATGCAAAAGTATATGAAAAGTTCTACAAAACAAGATGCGACAAGAATATTTTATTTTATCAAATGGTCAACCAAAACGAGTAAACAAACAAAAGTTATCGAGAGCCAAAATAGTAACCGTGGCATTCTTTCTGGGACGGAGGGAGTATGTAATTAAATTTTTATTTAATTAATGATTAAATTTTATCAGACTAAAAGAAATCAGACCAGACGAATACACTAAAAAAATTTATAAAATAAAATATACTCCGATCCCTCATCCCAAAAATAAGTTTATACTCCGTAGTTTTTAAGATGTATCGAAGTAAAATTTAATAAAGAAAAATTTGTTTCATATAGGACTAAAAGATAGTGCAATTCTCTAAATAGGATCAAAGTATGTTTTATTTCTTTTATGATACATAATTTCATATGATCTGCCATATATACCCTCATTAGCAACTAGTATTGGATAATAACTAAGGGAGAAAAACGAAAAATAGCACTCTTAGAGCCTTAAAATACTCTAAATAGCAGTGATATATGTTTCATATCTTTGATTCTGATTTTGTCCTTTAATTAAACAACAAATATTGATTACACACTGCCAAAGAATATGACTGTTTTGGGCAATGTGGTTGTTCACTTGTAACTGTGTAGTGAGCAGTGTGGTTTTTTATATGTGAGTATTTAATGTGGCAGTGTATAATGGATATATGTTGTTATATCTTACGATAGTGCGTAAGTGTATTATTGTGTTCCTTAATTTCATTTTGGAGTGTAATATCCATTGATTTATGTGGCAGTAGGTTCATGTATAAATTCTACACTGTCAAAAAGTAAATGATTGTTTTCATGTATGAATTCCACACTGTCCAAAAAATGTATAGCTTTTTTATGTATGAATTTCACACTGTTTTCATGTATGAATTCCACACTGCCAAAAATGTGTATGTCTGTTTTCATGTAAGAATTTCACATTGTCCAAAAATGTATGACTGGTTTCATGAATAATCTATTACACCAAAACACACTGGCCAAACATGGGCGTTAAATATGGAACTTAGTTTAATACATATAAACTTGTTTCAGCATTATACATTGGTAAACTGCGTAGGAGGAGGATCTCGCAGAGCTATGGTAAACGGCGTAGGAAGATGTTCTTGCACGTACGAGACGCACGAATGAGGAGGAGCCGTGCGTATGAGAAGGAGTGGCTACGTGAATAAGCTAAGTTTAATCAAATAATTAAAAGGAAGAGGATATATGCTTGAAAGATATTGACACTGTAAATAGCTAAATTCGCATAAAAGATTAAGGAGTGTTATATGCGTAATATTGAATGACTTAGAGTGCTATGTAGGGTGATTTCTTAATAACTAATTATACGAATGAATCTGCGAATGTAGTTATTAGCAACAAGTATTTGATAATGACTAATTATTTCAATGACTATTCAAATTCTTTTTAATAATGTCTTATTCTACTTGAATTGTGCAATATGTCATTTTTTCAAAAGTATGGCATTTTAGAACTTTTCATTGCCAAACGCTGGAGTAGATATGATTGGTTCTATTTAGGGAAAATGATATGTTTAAGTCTTATTTACGTAAATTACCTTTTAACAAAATCTTAATGAAGCAAGAAAAAAAATTAAAATCAATTTTAACCATAAACGACTCTTTAAATTCCAAAATGATCTTTACACTTTTCCCTTTTGATTGATACAATATTTATAGAAAGATAAGAAATGCTCTCTCCGCCTAGAATTGTTCATTTGATTCAAATTATTTTTAATTAAATTTATTTGATTATAAGAGTAAAACTAAAATATAAAATAAACTTCTTACATATTTAAAAACGATATAAAAAATTCTACCAAACAAATAGAAACTTGACCATATTATACTCCATCCGTTCTCAAAAACACTTCCTTTTTCATTTTTTCTACTTCCAATAAAACATTTCCACTTTCTATTAAAAAACCAATTTTACCCTTACTTTTTCATACCCTACCTATCACATCATATTTTTTCTCTAATAATCTATCCATCACATCTTACTTTTATCCATGACATCAAAGACAAAATTAGAAGTCAACTATATTTTAATACTTCCTTATTTTGGCTCCAAGTCAAACGCATGGAGTATTAAGAAGTGAGTATTGAAAATAAGCAAACAAAGTAAATATACATGAACTAATTTTACAATGTGCACACTCTGAGTACATTGCAAAAAATAGATCGATGTGCGCTTTTCTACCATTTTATTTCACTCTTTCGTTGAATAAAGTGGCATTCTTTAATTCTTTCGTTCATTAACGAAATGAACATTATGTAATTATTAAATGTACATACATTATAAATTTCATGATGCGCCCGTTTTAAGTATATGCCCAGAAATAAATATATGAGATGAATATTCTTTAACTTGTAAACGAAAATATGTTTGATACATACGGAGTAATAAACATATAACATATTACATCCAATACATAGAATATACGAATCCATGGTTGGACAATTATTCTTTACTGATTACTCTGAAGTACTAAACATTGTACGCAGAGTAATTCTTAAAACAACAGCATATAAGTGTTAGATAACATAACCGAAAGATAACAGAGACGCGCTTCACAGTCGTCCGAAATGCAGGAGAAAAAGACATATATATGGATTCCCATGGGGCAAATACGTGACCAAATGCAGTCTTCTTGCTCATGGTGAGGTTATAATAAGTTTCACTCCGCAAGATATTGTGGAGATCATGAGGCCATAAGTGAGCAACACAATGAACTTCCTGCAAGGTCAAACATAGTACTGAGTATGTTTTTTTCCCCACAATTTTCTTATCTCATGAGCTTCATTTCTACCTTGTTTTGTTTCCTTTACGGATTGAGCACGGCCAAAGTTTATTTAATTAGAGAATGTTATCAATTTTTTAGTACATTCTATGAGTGTTAACGCTCAAGAATGTATCTATTTGTTCCAACTAGACCTAACAAAAAATGACCTGACCAATTGATGACCCAGAAATACTAGGTTTAGAACAAAAGTTTTGTTGACCAAAGCCGTAGACAACAAAATCCAAAATAATCCGCAAAAAATGGGTCAATTCTTTTTTTCTGAATCAAGTACTTTAGTATGTAATGTAATGTGATGCGTAAAAACCATCAATTCTAGACTTGATGAGACGAAGAAGAAGAAGTAGAAGGTGTACCAAGGTGCACGGCGTTTCTCAGGAACACCGGAGGAATAGCGTACGAAATAGACGTAACGAGCAACCGTGTATAAAGCTCCAAGTAATGCACACACCAAAGGGTGCCTTACTCCTCCCACCATCATCAACATGAAGAAGACAGACATGTTTTCCACTGAATTCTGGTGTGCCCTCTGTCATGCATGTCATCAAACACACACCAAACAAATTCATTTCGACATGTTTAACAAGAAATAGCCTTAACTCAATTGAGTCCAATTTTTGATAAACAGCAATGCAATTGAGCATCCTCTATCCATTTCACCACACATTTTGAAAGAGAGAAATTAATACTAATAAGAACCTGAACACAGTTGAAAATCTTGCCCTTTTCATTCCCATCTTCTTCTGAAGCATACATGGCCGGATAGTGAACGTTGTACCTGCAGCAAGCGAGTATCGATTAAGAACTCGAAATGGAAAACCTAATTTGATTTGATTATTGATTGTAATTTCAGATTCGGAGCAGCCCGATTATGGAACCCTAATTCCCAAAACTGGAAATTAAAACAGCACTGAGCTTAATCGAATCAGATCAAAGCAGTACTTGGCGCGAGCTTTGCCGACTTGGAAAGTCATCCAGGAGTTGAGGGCAGAGTAGAGGGCGAGGACGATGGCAACGTAGCCGTATTCTTTCGGAAGCGCCTCCACTCCGGCCATGGCTGTTTCCGGCGAAGGTTTCTGGGGTTTGGATTATCTTCAGAAAGGGGGATCTGGCACTTTGTTCTCTGAGCGAGGGGACTTGTGAGATTTATAGGCGTCGATTTCTGGCAGGGACGATGATGGTACGAGGAGGAAATCCATCTTTGAGGAGAAAGAATGAATATCCTTAACTTCTTCTGAGCAAAAGCTAAAGCGAGAAGAATGAAAAAGAATGGCGTGTCAAATAAGACAAGGCAATGTTCCATGTTCTTCCTAAAAATTAATTACCTCATTCATTCTCGAACAGCCAAAACATGCTTGCAGAACGAAGGAGAATTTTCTTACCCATCACCAAAGTTTTAAGAGGGTGTTTGGCAATTTAGTAATTTAGCTTCTATTTTGAGTGGAAGTGATTTTATTCTGTTTGGCATGTCAGCTTCTGCTTTTCACCACTACTATTTTATACACAGAACACCGTTTTGGAGAAGCAAGTATGTGGTGTTTTTGCTTTCAGCTTTTGTGAAAATCACTTTATCCAGAAGTTAATCACTCCCAAACAAGCTCTAAATACAGAACCAATAATCGAACCGGTTGAGTTACTAATTAGAGTGGTCAAACTAGTAGTTTAACAATTCAAGTGGTCGAACTACTGATTTAACATAGGAAAAATTGATATAAATACTCCCAGAAATTTGAAATTTCACAATAATACTCCCAAATTCAATAAAAGACTCTGGTGCTCCCAATTAAACTATAAGTTTACATTACTACTCCCACTATCTCTAATCAGCTTTTCTTATGCTTACATGTAAGTAATTATGTTTAGTTGACATCTTAGTTGTTGTTTTTTGTTTTAATAAGAGGAAAAAATTATATAAATACTCATAGAAATTCAAAATTTTACAATAATTCTCCCAAAATCAAATAAAGACTCCAATTCTCCTAAAAGTATATTCTCGTTGCACGTTACTATATTTGACTCAAATTATTTTTAAAGTATTTTATATGAAAAATGGTGTGAAATTTAAAAATAAAAATTACATATTAAAAACTAATATAGTAATATGTAAAAATAATTTTTTTAGTAATATTAAAGATTAATTAATTGAGCTTAATTGGCATCTTAAGTAGTTTTTTATATTTTAATAAAAAATATCTCTCTGTCCAAAAATTATCTTCTCATTCACTATCAAGAGTATTAACAAGATCAAATTTTATTTACTTTGCTTATCTATTTTAATTATGTATTTGATAAAATAATATAATTATATCATTACTAGTTTTATAGATCTTATAATGTAGTTTTTAGATATATAATTTTATTTTTTGATTTCACACCACTTTTATTAAAAATCATAACACGTAAAAGGAAGATATTTTTTAGAGTACTGAAATCATTATTTGGTTTTGAGAGATTATTGTAAAATTTTGAATTTCAGAGAGTATTTATACAATTTTTTTCTCTTATTAAAAGAAAAAGAACAACTAAGATGTCAACTAAGCATAATTACTTACATGTAAGCATAAGAAAAGCTGATTAGGAATAGTGGGAGTAACAATGTAAACTTATAGTTTAATTGGGAGCACCAGAGTCTTTTATTAAATTTGGGAGTATTATTGTAAAATTTCAAATTTCTGGGAGTATTTATATCAATTTTCCTTTAACATATTACACACACACACACACACATATATATATATGGATTAACTCTAGTCAGATGACACCTTATGGTGAGATGACGTCAAGCTCACCACATTATACTACAAAGCTCACCAATGACCAATGCAAAGCTCACCTAAAAATAAAGCAAAGCTCACTACTTTGAACACCAAAACTCACATTTTTTTAATTTTGAAAATTAAAAAATTAATTAAAAATAAAATAACAAAACCGGTCAACCACCGGTCAGCAGTGACGGCGAACGGAGGCGGCACATCGAAGCAGTGGCGGCGACTGGCGGAGCAGAGGCGGCGGCGGTCAACTCAATGTTCAAAATCTAGTCAGCACCCATCTTTTTATTTTATTTTTTTTAAAAAAAATTTAAAGTATTGAAATAATATGATGAGTTTTACCTTACAATTTGGTGAGTTTTGTAGTTGTCCTTTGTGAGCTTTGCAGTGGCCAGTAGGGGTGTAAACGAACCGAATCGAAACGAATAACAAGATATTTGAATTTGTATTTGTTTAATTTTTTCGAATACGAATACGAATCCGAATATGAGACGAATTCAAAACAAGATTTAAATATGTATTTGATTAATATTCGAATAGTTGACGAATCCTAAACGAATATTTGAATAATCATACTCTGTAATTTATATGATGGACCAACATCGATTTGTAATTTAACTAATGATACTCCTTATACTATACTATACTCTGTATCAAAAAACATTAATACATTTGCATCTTAAATTACATGAATTATATTTTATAAAATATAACTACGAAAAATCATATGCTTTAGATTTTTGTGTTACGTTAATATGTCGAATTCTTAAATGCACTTTATACTATATTAGTTTGTTTAACTATTGATGTTGAAAACATGGTCTTGTATATACATATATTCGAATCGAATATATCCCTATTTGTATTTGTATTTGTTTAATATTCGAATCAAAAATAATATTTGAATTTGAATTTGTATTTGAATAATGCGAATTCGAATCCTCATATTCGAATATAAATCACGAATCGAATTTAAAATATTTGATTTGTTTACATCCCTAGTGGCCAGTGGTGAGATTTGCGTCATCACACCGTAGCACGTCATCTCATCGTAAGGTGTCATCTGACTGGAGTCAATCTCATATATATATGTGTGTGTGTGTGTGTATGTATGTATGTATGTATATATATATATATATGTATGTATATATATATATATATATATATATACACTCTCCGTTCCACTTTAGATTACAATATTCTCTTTTAGTTGAAATTAAGGAAGAGTCAAATCAATTTTTTTTCCCCAAATTACCCCCCAAATCCCCCAAATATCCTTCCCACTCACATGGATGAATAGTGTAAATAGTGGCTGGCAGAAAAGAAAAAGGGAGGGTAAAAGAGTCAATTTACTATAAAGTTATTGACTTTGTAATCCTTTTTGGGACAAAAATGTGAGGGAATATTGTAATCTATTTCGGGACGGAGGGAGTATATATATATATATATATATATATATATATATATATATATATATATATATATATATATATATATATATTATTTTGTATATAATAAAAATAATACTCTGTTCCTTTGTACATAAAAATTTATGATGATTGATTCATGTTATAATCAATTTATTTTATTTTTTATGTGTATTTATATTTAAAATGATCGAAATGTGTTGTTGTTGTATCCTTTACACATTTTATTGAAAGACAAAATTAAAAAGTTAATTATGAAAAAGTATATTTAATTATAATATAAATTTACTAAAATTAATTAGGTTTATTTTAAAATATAGTTTTGAAACATTAAACATTTAATTACTTTAGATTATATTTAATTCGCGGTCAAAGGATGCCATATTTTGACCAAAAAAATTAAACTGTAACAATCTTTTAGGGACGGAAGAAGTATCATTTTTCACATTTTTCATAAAATACTTTCACTTTTTTTTAAAAAAGAGTTTATTTATTTCTATTAATCTTATCCAACCTATCAAAATATCAAATCATTTATTTTTATTATTAATTTAAATATCACATCCTTTCCAAATTGGAGAGAGTATTCTTTTCTCATAATAGGACTTATAATAGAACATATATACTTCTAGAACCAAAAAAATATTGTAGAACGTTACATTGCTACAAGGCAATAATTTTATTTTAATAAAAAATTCATATGTCTTCTAACAATATTGGGGATAAGGCTATGCTCTATATTTTTTGCCTTTATTTTTTATGATTTCTTTTCATACTTAGCTTCCTAATTTTTAGGCCAACTTAGCATGTCACATTAGCTTTTACTCATTGTTTCCAGTTTCTACAAACAGTTTTTTACCCTCGATAAAACCATATTCATCCTTCCCACTGCACATGCACCCTCTTTAATGAATTCCTTTCATTAATAAATAAATTAAATTTAAGGAAATAAATGAATGGTTAAACAAAATTAACTTGTTGTCGGAAGTTAGCCTGAAATGTTGAATAAGAAGAAAAACTTCTCTGCAAATCAGTCCACTTGTGAGTAATTTTAAACCTTCTAAACTTTGTTATTTTAATTTGATTTCTTCACGAAAGTTATAGCCTTATGTCTTATGAATCCGTACCTTCAAGCGGTTCACGATTTCGTTGAGTAACAAAGGAGATACGACCCAAATACCAGCACCGGTATACTTGTGACCGGAAGTGACGAATTTCATGGATTCGAACATCGTTTTCGCTCCTAATAGTAAAGCGTACACCGCGAACCAACATTCCAGACTAAGCAGTCTGAGAATGCTTCTAAAAGTTTTCCGTAGTAAGAAGAAACATAGATAAGTTGTAAGACGCAATCAGAGAAGGACTGTGAAGAATCATGCAATACACCAGGATAATCTGTTAAACCTACGTGTTTTTTTAACCAGAACTGTTACCACACCTATTTGAAATACTCTTTCCGTCCTAAAATTAACTTCTCATTTTGACTTTTGTAGTCAAATTTTTTAAACTTTGACCGTATATTACGAAAAAAATACATTGAATTTTCATATAAATTTGTTAGCAATAGATTCATTTTGAAACATAGTTTTGAAATATATAATTTTTATAAAATATATTTATATAAAAATTGAGATATTGATGGTCAAAGTGTCGCATTGGATACCATGAAAAGTCAAATGAGAAGTTAATTTTAGGACGGAGGGAGTAATACCTTAGGCTGCTAAGCAAACCTTCTTCGGAGAAGTGAAGATAACTTACCCGTCCTCCAAAAGGAGAATCTTACCGAAACCAATGGGTGAGGGATCGGTGCACATCACCTACAATACGGTACCAAAGCCTACTGTTGAAATATTAGAATAATAATATTGCTCTCTTAATTATGGAATACATGATAGAGTATATATAGGAGAGATTCCTAACACAACTAGACATAGAGAATGGAGACTAACTAACATACAACATCTACTACAAATAGGATTAGGAAGCTGAGTAATAATGAAACACTACCATAACCAATACTACCAGAAGTAATATTAGTATTATTGTCTAACATCCCCCCCTCAAGCTGAACTCTGGCTGAAGCAAGAGGAAGCTTGGACACTAGCTCGAAACTGGAAACTTTGAAAGGAGAGAAATTTGACGTGCGCCGGTGGCTGCTGACGTCGTTGGATAAGAAAGAAGTCTGACGTGCGCCAGTGGCTGCTGACGTCGTTGGAGAAGAGAGAATTCTGACATGCACTGTTAGCTGCTGACATCGTTGAAGAAGAGAGAAATTGACGTGCGCTGGTAGCTGCTGATGTCGAAGAAGAAGAGAAAAGGTTGACGTGCGCTTGTAGCTGCTGACGTCGTAGAAGAATAGAGAAGGCTACTGGAGGTGTCTGTTTGACTGAAGATCTTTGACATTCTTTGTCTTTTTTCTTGGATCCGGGCAATGCCCTATTTCTTTCTTGAAGGGGTGTAGAGGTATTCTTTCCTCTTTCACTACTTCCCTTCTTGGCTTTGTTTTTGTTTTTTTTGAAATTTTATTGGTTAACAAAGGATAAAGAGAACAAAACACTGATGATTAGAATGAAAGATTTGAAAGAAAAAAAAGGGGATTAAGAATTGGTGATGAAGAAAAGATCTAGGTCTAAGAATCTTCGATAGTGAATTGTAGAGAAACAACTATCATTTTTTTCCAAGATTTTGAGAAGATACAAGGATGAGTTGAGAGAGTTTGAGAGGAGTTGAGGTTTTTTTTGAAGAACCATTGAGATGACAAAAGAGAAATTTCTCCTTTGATGGTTTTTTTATGATTTCAACACGGGAAATTTTTTTTCTTTTTTTTGAATGGAGATGTTAACTTGAGGATAAAAGAAGGAAAAGAAAATAGAGGTGAATAAGGTGGAGCCGCCGTCGACGGAATTACCGGCGGCGGCAGTGGGAGCAAAGAACTTTTTTTAGGTCACCAAGAGTGGTGGCTCTGATACCATGTTGAAATATTAGAATAATAATATTGCTCTCTTAATTATGGAATTCCTACTTCCAAGAAGTGAAGAGTACTTACCCATTCTCCTAAAATAGCCGCTTTGCGCCGTCCCATTTTCAGAGTTGTTAAAGTGCATCCCACATCGGAAGTCCAAGAGTAAAATAATCCGGTATATAAGCTCTTGAGTTAAACTAACTAATCGATTGGATTCAATCTTTTAATGTGGTTCAACCCAAGTGTCTTATTGCCCAATCTAGTTGTCCATACTCCATCCTAAATTCTATCATGGTATCAGAGTAGGTTTTGGCCCACCTCGTTTGTCAAGGTGTCCGTCTAGACGTTCATTCCTAGCGGCCCGTTAGTCTTTAGCCCAGTTGTCCGTATGGGGTATGTACCCAACGGCCTGTGGCCCGTTTAACACGATTGCTCGCCTGGAAGTCCATACCCAGCGGCTCGTAGTCCTTTAAGGTGTTGGCGCTCAAAAAAAATCAAGGGAATGGGAGTTTATTTGCAAGTGGTCAACCGGTTAGATTCAAAATGGCCCGGTTAGATTCAAAATTGGGGAGTGTTAGAGTACATCCCACATCGGAAAATCCAAGAGAAAATAATCGGTATATAAGCTCTAGAGTTGAACTAACTAATCGATTGGATTCAATCTTTTAATGTGGTTCAACCCAAGTGTCTTATTACCCAATCGAGTTGTCCATACCCATTCCAAATTCTATCATGGTATCGGAGCAGGTTTTGGCCCACCTCGTTTGTCAAGGTGTCCGTCTAGACGTTCATTCCTAGCGGCCCGTTTGTCTTTAGCCCAGTTATCTGTATGGAGTATCTACTCAACGGCTTGTGGCCCGTTTAACACGATTGCTCGTCTGGAAGTCCATACCCAGCGGCTCGTGGTCCTTTAGGTGTTGTCGCTCAAAAAAAAATCAAGGGAATGAGAGTTCATTTGCAAGTGGTCAACCGGTTAGATTCAAAATGGCCCGATTGTCCACTTGAGGGGGAGTGTTAAAGTGCATCCCACATCGGAAGTCCAAAAGTAAAATAATCCGGTATATAAGCTCTTGAGTTAAACTAACTAATCGATTGGATTCAATCTTTTAATGCGGTTCAACCCAAGTGTCTTATTGCCCAATCTAGTTGTCCATACTTCATCCTAAATTCTATCAAGAGTTAAACTTTTGAATTTGCTCCTAATTCGCTTAAACTTGCAGTTCGGTTTCGACATGCGGTTCCAAGACTCGTTTGTCCCCTAGGATTTATGTACTCCATATTTAAAAATTAAAATATGAAGAATAATACAAAATAGAAGCAAAATATAGTATCACGTAAAATAGTTGTAGTATTCCTTTCGTCCTGGATTATTTGTCCACTTTTGAATTTTTTTGTCAAGATTGGTAAGCTTTGACTCCAAATTAAATAAAAATGATATTAAATATTGATACAAAAATAGTTTTATTAGATTTATTATATAAGATATTTTCAAAATACTCGGAGCATTATTTTATATAATTAATATATAAATATATTTTATTTAATTAAAGGTCAAAAATTAAAAACGATTGATTGAAAGAAATTAAAATTAGATAAATATTCTTGGAGGAAGGTAGGATTTATTGTAGAAAAATTTACTTAAATAGGACTAAAACATGAGACCCAAACTATTGGGAATTTGTGATTATATTATCCTAGCTCAATTCATTTTAAAATTCTGTTTTAAGGTTCTACCGACCATTATCATCAGGGACTTTAGTTTCCTCTTCCTCAGTCAACTTCCTCTACCAAAACTTTGGCATTCACCGGGAACATGACATGGCTGCCGGCGCTACTCTCCCTTTCACTCCTTGTCCGCCTGCACTATTATTGCAGCTCGGCGGCGACCACGGACACCATCGCCGTCAACCAAACTCTCGAAGACGGAGATTTATTACTCTCTAGTGCAAAATCTTACGCCCTGGGCTTCTTCACCCCGGGCAATTCCACCGGGAAACGTTACGTCGGGATCTGGTACTGGAAAATCCCAGAACGAGTGGTTGTTTGGGTAGCTAACAGAAACAACCCCGTCAACGGCACATCCGGAATCCTCTCCGTCGACCTCACCGGAAACCTCGTAATCCATGATCGGAAAACAAATACCACCGTCTGGAACACCAGTCTTTCTTTCCCGGCGGACGAGAACACTAAGCCCCACTCTGCTCTGCTCCAAGAAACAGGGAATCTGGTTTTGTATACAGCATCTTCACAGATTTTGTGGCAGAGTTTCGATTACCCGACGAACACGCTGATTGCCGGCTTGAAATTCGGGGTGGACATGAAACGCGGCCTCAATTTATCCCTCACGTCGTGGAAATCATCGGACGATCCTGGCACCGGAGAGTATTCGATGAGAATAGAGATGAAGGGAAAACCACAGGCTTATCTGTTCCGAGAATCGGCCCGAGTTTGGAGACTCGGGCCGTGGAACGGGATAAGATGGAGCGGCGTGCCGGAGATGACTCCGAACATAACGCCGTACACCTTCACGGAGAACGGCGACGAGGTGACGGAGGAGTACCGGATCAAGGACCCGAACATATACACGATCGTCATGTTGAACGAAACCGGGACAGTGAACAAGATCTTATGGCAAGACGGGAAATGGGTCGGGAACTGGTACTACCCTAACAACGACGACTGCGATTCGTACGACCGGTGTGGCCCGTTCGGGATATGCAACCCGTACAACGAGCCGGGCGGGTTCGACTGCAGGTGCGTTACAACCGGGTTCGAACCTGAGTCGGTCTCGGATTGGGACCGGGGGGACGGGAGGAGCGGATGCCGGAGGTCGTCCCCGGAACAGTGCGGCAACGGGGACGGGTTTCTGAAGCTGGGGAACGTGAAGGTACCGGACACGGAGACGGCGGTGTTGAACAGTGAAATGAAAGGGTTGGAAGAGTGCGAGGAGCTGTGCCGGAAGAACTGTTCGTGCACGGGGTACGCCGGAAATAACATCAGCGACGGCGGAGTGATTGGGTGCATCACCTGGCACGGTGAGCTGAGAGACATGAGGGAGTTCACTAAAGGGGGCCAAGATATGTATATTCGAGTCTCTGCTTCAGAATTACCAGGTACATTACTTCTCAAAATGCTAACGCTAAAGCGTACCGTCACATAATCTTTTGAAAACGCTCACGCTAATCTCGAACGTTGATGCCAAACGGAGTCATTCTAAACGGTTTGTTTTGTAATGATTTTGTGTTCTTGATCAGGTCAGAATTCAAAGGAGTCTAAAGGGCATCGCCGGAAATGGGTCGCAGGCGTTGTGGTAGGGGTGCTTGTTGTTGCGGCACTCATTCTTGTGGCCATTTGTTTAACAATGAAAAGGATAAAAACAGGTAAGAATTGAACCTCTTTCATTGGCAGGCAAGAATCAAATTACATCATTAAAAAGAGGGGTTTATCAAGAAAAATGAATAGTAATAATAATAAATGTTTAAACTGGCATGCATTATTTATTGGCAGGGAAGAGAGAGGTAATGATAATAAAGAATGAAAAAATAATACACTCTTTTGAAGAAGGGTCGTCTCCGATAACAATGGGGAGATATATGGATGGAGAAGGCACGGCAGATGTGTTAATATATGATCTCAACATAATTCAAGCTGCCACTGATAACTTTTCCCTTGAAAATAAACTTGGAGAAGGCGGATTTGGGTGCGTTTACAAAGTAAGTACTCCTTTCTTGTTTTGATTTTTAATAGATTTAAGAAGAGTGTATTTTGGTGTCAACTTTTTAAAAATGCCTTTGGATGTGATTGATAAGAGTAGATGTGATTGGTAGATTAGTAGTGAAAAAGTGTGATGTGATAATTAAGTTAAGAATTAATAGGGGCAAAAGTGACTTTTAATTGAAATGAGAAAAGTTTTTTGAGACGGGTGAAAAAAGAAAGAAGAAATATTTTGTATGACTGAAAAGTAATATTTAACATCTTTCTTTAATTTCATCACAAAAATATTGTACTCTCTCCCTCCTAAAATGGATGCCATTTGTTCAAAAAAAAATGGATGTCATTTGTCTTAAAATTAACTTCTCGTTTTAGATTACGAGGCTTGAAAATTCTTATTTTCAGTTTAATTTATTTGATTATAAGTGTAAAATATTAAAATAAAATTTATATGTTTAAAAAAACTAGTAAATCACAAATTCAACAAAGCTAAAGGTGAATTTTATAGTCAATTAAAAACTTTTATTGTTTTGATTTTTTTTGGGTCAAATAGTGATTTTCTTTGACCATAATAATATAAATTCAATATAACTGGGTTAATCTTGCGATATAGTCTTAATATATCAAATTTTTATATCATTTAGGTTATGTTTAATTTGTGGTAAAAAATTGTTACGATTTAGACATAGAAGTTTTTTTTTAAGAGGTTTAAATAAATATTTGTAGGGAAAGATGGGAAATGGAGAGGTAGTAGCGGTAAAAAGGCTGACAAAGAGTTCAGATCAAGGGATAGAAGAATTCAAAAATGAAGTGATACTAATAGCTCGGCTACAACACCGGAATCTGGTGAGGCTCTTGGGGTATTGCATTGAAGGAGGGGAGAAAATGTTGGTGTATGAGTACTTGCCTAATAAAGGCCTTGACACTTTCCTCTTTGCAGGTAAGTTCCTGTCCATATCAGGACATTTTTGAAAATTCAATATCAAAATATACTCTCCATCCATAAATCTCTTCAAAATCAAAACATCCCATGTTTTTAGGACCGGAGAGAGTAAGTATTTGAATGAGAAATTTACCTAAGTAGGACTAAAACATAATGAGTTTCCCAATATAGGATAATATGTTTTTATTTCCCAATGTAGGTCCTTTGGTCATTATCAAGTAGTCATTATTCAATTAAATGTCCATCATTACTAGACATTATTCTTTCCACTAGGTCATTATTAAGTTCTATCAAAGGAATAAAAAAGTTTAAGTCCTACATTAGGAAAGTCATTATGTTTTAGTCCTATTTAGAATAAATTTCACTATTTGAATATCCATATAATGATTAAGAATCAAAGGAAAAGTATATTACTCAGGTGAAATTCCTTAGGTCTGTTTGGTATATGGAATTGACAGAATTAAAATGGAATTCCGAGTTAAATTTATATAGAATTGATTTGAGTGGAATTAAATTCTTCGATTCCAATTCATTTTTGGCACTACCAATTCAAAATCCACATATTTTTGTGCTACCAATTATCAGAATTGGAATTGCTATTCTGAATTCCAGTTCTATAATTTGAATTACATGTACCAAATGAAGCCTAAATTTAATTTATTCCATAATTGATCTTGCAGAGAATAGCCACATGACACATTTGGATTGGAGAAAGCGCTTTGAAATTATTTTAGGAGTTGCTCAAGGATTATTATATCTTCATCAAGATTCAAGGTTAAGAATCATTCATAGAGATTTAAAAGCTAGCAATGTGTTGCTAGATGCCAATATGGACCCAAAAATATCAGATTTCGGAATGGCTAGAATCTTCGGAGAAGAACAAGTTGAAGATAACACAAATCGAGTGGTTGGAACCTAGTAAGTGGCATTCATATATGAATATTTCTAAGAACCACAATCAATGTTCAGATGGATGACAATCATAAATGATTCTATACATACATAGACGATAATCATCTGCGTTCACGGATAATTATTATCTGTGTATGTATAAATTATCTGCGATTATCATCCATAGGGGCAATCGTAGTGTGTTTCTAGCATGGTCCATCCGTATTTACACTTGTGGTACAATAAAATATAGAAATATGTGTACTAAATAGCACTAAAACTTAAGTCATTTTCCTAAATAGCACTTAAATTATTTTATTCTCTAAATAGTATTTAATAATTTTCAAAATGAGAAATAATGTGCAGTGATGACAAACATTTACTTAAATAATGACTAATGGATAATGACTAAAAGTGCTACATTAGGAAAAAACATATATGATGTTATTTAGGGAAAGTCATTATGTTTAAGTGTTATTTAACTAAATTCTCCTAAAATATACTCCTCTTAGAAAGGTCTTTTTTTAAATATAGGCCGGCCACAACTATTATCACTCTTTATTTATTACAACTCACTTAGCCTCCCCACTTAGGCACTTAATATACTCCGCCAATTTTCATTTAGGACAATTTCGTAATAACTCTCATTAAACAGCTTGAAATGTCATTTTGAGAACATTTTTCAGTCAGAGAAAAAACTACTTTTGTGTCATTATATTTGTCTAATTTAATTTTTTAGTCAAACTGAATATATAATTTAATTTTTTACTGTTTATTAAATAAATGTAGCAATGCATATTTTTGACCATCAGTTAAATAAATGTAGCTGTCATTTAATTAATTAAATATTTAGTGTAACAAACTCTCAAAATGTTATTGATTGCATCAATATGTTATGTAATATTTTTTAATATAATTGACGATTAACGTTTACTCACTTTGACTAAGAAAATAAAATTGAACCAGTATGTTGGGAGATGCCACATTCTACCTCAAGAGTAATACCTAGCTAGCTAGTTTATTTTTAAGAGTAATTTACCTAAATAGGACAAAAACATAATGACTTTCTCAAAATAGGATCATACGTTTTTATTTCCCAATGTAGAACCATTGGTCATTATTTATTAGTCATTATTCAACTAAATATCCAGTATCACTTGGACATTATTCTTCTCCCTAGTCATTATTAAGTCCTACTTAGGGAATAAAAAAATTTAAGTCCTACATTGGTAAATGACTTACTCCCTCCGTCCCAAAAAGTCTTTGCTGTTTCATTTTTTGCGCATCTCATAAAACACTTCTATCCCGCCTTGAATGCCAAAAAAACTTTCAAATTAACTTCTATCTATAATAAAGAAGAAATGTTGTAAATTTTAGGCATTTTAGATGTCGGTAGAAGTGTTTTATGAGATGCGCAAAAAATGAAACAGGAAAGACTTTTTGGGACGGAGGGAGTATGTTTTAGTCTTATTCAGTGCAAATTTCACTATTTTTATTTTGTCATTGAATGTGTAATATCATACTTGACCATTATGGAATGACTCGAAATGATTGCAGTGGTTACATGTCACCTGAATACGCAATGGAAGGTCACTTCTCGGCAAAATCAGACGTGTTTAGTTTCGGTATTTTATTGTTGGAAATAGTGACTGGAAAGAAAAACAAGCACAGGTTCAATGAGCATTCTCTCAACTTAGTAGGTGATGTAAGTGCATTGCATGCATCTCCCAATAATAACTTATCCTACCAATCCCTTAACCTACACACAACAAAAAAAAATCTTATCTTATTGGGTGCAATCCAATTCAAATTTGATCTTAGGTATGGAATGTGTGGAATGAAGAGAAAGCACTTGGTGTGGTTGACCCATCATTGAAGGACGATGAGCCGTCGTATGATGTTGGAGAAGTGTTGAGATGCATCCATGTTGGGTTGTTGTGCGCCCAGCCTTATCCCGACGATAGGCCAAACATGTCCGAAGTGGTTTTCATGCTAAGCAATGAAACCAAGCTCCCACAGCCTAATCCACCCGGCTTTGTTTTTGAACCGCCGAGAACCGATCAATTCTGGTCGACGTCTACAAGTGCAGGGAATCAATCCATCAATTGTGTGTCAATTACCGCAGTCAAGGGTCGTTAATTATTAGGTCCTCGAATAATTGTATGTCATTTTTATATTATAGCATATCATTATTTGAATCTTAAATTAGTTAAGTATGTTTGTTTAAGAACCACCAACTTCATGACTCTTTTCTCTGTTAAACTTTGTGAGTCACAAGATTATAATGGAAGATCTTGACACTTTTATTAATTTGCAATTGAATTTTTCAGTGTGTCAATTCCTTTTATAGATAAGCAAATGGCTCTCTAAAGATGTAATTGTCACATTATATTCACCAAAAACATAGAAGATGAACTCGACCGAGCAAATCGATCTAGTCACTTCTGCATGTATTCTGAATAAATAGACTTAAAAGAGAGAAGGAAATATTTTTTCATTGGACGTCTAAAACATTTAAAGATCAATTCAAGTAAGATAAGAGTATAAATAAGTGTGTTATTAGAAGCTCACAAAGAATGGTTTAGATATCACAAATGCACTTGCTATTTAATTTTTTATTTTAGAAATACTAAACAAATTACTACTCTATTAAAAATCTCCTAAATATTGTGATACGATTCTTGATATGAATCGTATCAAGATAGAAGGAGTTTGAACGTCTTCAAATCCAAGAAAGATAAAGAGGGAGAAAGAGGAGAATGCCATGCATCTAAGAGGAGAAGAAGCTAAAGGAGATTAGAGTTTTGATTATTCTTTGAGATTATTCTGAAAGGCTACATCTCTATATTTATAGAAGATAGAGAAGTCATAATTATAGTAAAAAATATTCATCTTTTCTTTTTCTCTTCTTTCCAAACAAATTATAACTCTATTTTATTCATAGAATTATCTATCTATATTTCTTTTATTGTTAATTCCAAATAAATACTCTATCTGTCTCATATCTTTTTTTATTTCACTTTTAATTTCAAGGTTCCTGATGCACCACTTTGTGTTAATGTGAGACTTCATGAGTGCTTCTTGCCAATGACATCAAGATGGTGAGGCTTCATGATTGCACGAGATAGAAAAAGCAAGAGGTCAATGGTTTGTGATTTGTTCAGCGATTGATTTTTTAAAGGGGTTACATATATATTATTTATAGGAGACGAGGAAACTCAAGCTAATTATAAACAAAATAGAAAAATTACCTGGCGGTTTAATAAAAGCGACAAGGGAAAAAATCGTAAAGAAATATCGAAGGAGCTTATAGTTTCTCTTATCTAATAAAAGATAGATTGCAATAATAATAATACTAATAACATTGCCACTAAATATAATTAAATATCCTACTTTAGTATCCTACTTTCAATGAAAGCACCAATGATACGATATGGAAGACTCAGAGCGTCTTCAAGTTCCAGAAAATAGAGACAAGAAGGAGAAGAAGATTGAGATGAGAATTGAAGGGAATTGAATCAGCAAACTGAGGGAGGAGAAGAGATTTAGGGTTTATGATGTTATTGATTCTTATTGGAAATGGGTTTACATCTCTATTTATAGGAAATAGATGAAACCCTAACCCATCTAATTTCTAGCATCTCGGTTCAACAAATGCATCGAGATAAAAAACTCAAAAAAAACTCTTGATGAAGCTTATAATTTCGCTCATCTACTAAAACCTAAATAACATACTCTACTATCCATAACATGCATAGTATAGTGTTATTGGTTATTTTATGTTGTTGGATATGATTTACTTCAATCAAGTACGAGCTTTAATTAACATTATTGTTAATGAATTCGGAGGTGATGCACACTACATGCTTGTTTAATTAACGATATTATAAATAGGAATTTGTTAGAGGTACTTCAAGCTGGTGTACCTTATGTGTGCACCAGTTTCTCACAGACACACACAGAAGTGTAGGTCTGTGTGTGTGAGAAGCTGGCGTGCATCCGAGGTACACCAACGTGGGATACCTTTGAGTTTTTCCTTATAAATTTCATAGCGTGGTCACAGCCAGCCACCGTAGCGGGGTCAAGGGGAAGTATATATTACGTGTAAATCAAATCAAATCGTCCAACTAACTGGTAGAGACAGAAGTGAAGGACGGATTTAAGAAGCATTCAAGAGTGAAAATGATAGTACTATATATGATTTCTATATAGAGACCACGTTTTCTACTTCCCCACCTGTGGAATTTAAAATATCTATCCAACGCAGTAATGCACCGTTGAATCAATCAAGCTAAGCTAGCCAGCCATGTTTGAGTTGGCCAATGTTTGATCTGCATGCCTGTATTGATGATGGCTTTATTCATAGTTTCATCCTCTCTTTTTTAGTATAAGAAACGTGATTTATAGCCTTGGGGCATTGCAACCTTGCAATCTTTTTTTTCCTTCTTTTTTCGCCTTGCAGTTTTTTTTGCTGAGAGTTAAACGAATGAAAAGTGAAGAATTTATAAATTCGGATGAAAATATACACTTTACGAACAATTCAATAGTAAAAGTAAAACTGGGGGTGGGTTCGATTTTTCCCTAAAACCAAAGACGGAACAGAAGTTAGTTTGGCGGTTCAGTTCGGTTCGATTTTCTAAAAAAAGTGAACGATCAATTTTTGGGTTCCATTTTTTACGGTTTGATCCTCGGTTTTTGGTTTAAAAAAACATTTTTTTCAAAAGTATATCACACTTATTACATTAAAAAAATTGTAAAAAAAAATACAAACACTTGCAAGTTTTTATCCAAACACTAGAACGGCAACCCTTAATTAAGGAAGTTCAGAGAGTATCTACTCGCTCACATTTAAAACAACCAACGTAACCTCATAATTGTTCATAAAAAAATGATTAATTTTTTTTTCTTATTATGGAACTCTTGGTTGTAATTTATAAATTTTGGTTTTTTCCGATTCAGTTCGGTTTTCATAGTCCAAATTAAAACCGAAAACGGAACAATTTGGAAGCGGTTAGGTTTGGTTTTCCACATTCGGTTTTTGTTCTTTCAATTTGGATAATTTTTTGGCACAATTTAATCGATTTGAATTCGATTTTTTCAGTTTTCGGTTTTTCCGACCCATCGAAAAACTAATGGTTCACATTTAAAATTTTTATTTAAAACATGTATTTTGTGAATAGTGTAGATCGAGTAAATGACACAAAACCCTTTTAATCTTCAAACTAGATCATCTGAAAAAATATGGGGAGACAAACTTGTTGTAGATTTGCAAGTTTTCTCTCATTTCTACTAATAATCTGCAGGTGCAGTTCAACCACGTCACAAACACCATCTCCCTCAACCAAACGCTCAAACATGGAGATTTCTTATTATAGGAAATCAAATTTTTGGGGTGAGGTTATTGCTGATGAAGCTCTGTAAAAGAAAAATTAAACTTCTTCTGGTATTATTTTAATGCATTGTTTCTAGCGTCATTCACCCATGATATATTTCTTAAAGTGCATGATTTTTCTCTCGTGTTTTTAAAATACTCCCCCCGTCCCCAAATAAATTTTCTCTTTCGTTTTTTTTGTCCCAAAAAAACTTCTCTTTTCCCTTAAAAAACTACTTTTACCCCTTACTTTTTCATACCCTACATATCACATCATATCTTTTTACTAATAATCTACCCATTATATCTTATTTTTATAATCACATCAAGGGTATTATTGGAAAGTCAACACCAAAATATCACTTCTTAATTTCCCAAAAAGTCAATAAGAGGAGTTTATTTAAGGACGGAGGGAGTATATCATTAGATACAAACTAATACGGAGTACTACTTTTTTTTAAATTCGGATGGAAAATATACACTTTACGAATAATTCAATAGTAAAAGTAAACTAGGGGTAGGTGCAGTTTTTTGGGTCCGGTTTTTCCCTAAACCCAAAGACGGAACGGAAATAATTAATTTGACAGTTTGGTTTGGTTTTCTAAAAAGAAGTGAAAGATTAATTAGTTTTTTCGGTAGTGTTTTTTGTGGTTTGATCCTCGATTGGTTTTTTCGGTTATTTGGTTTAAAAAAAAATTCAAAAGTATATCACATTTATCACATTAAAAAAATTGTAAAACAAAACTACAAACACTTGCAATTCAAGTATTTATCCAAACACTAGAACCGCAACCCCAAATTAATTAAGGGAGTTCATAGAGTATCTACTTGCTCAATTTAAAACAACCAACGTAACCTCATTAGTGTTCATAATAAAATAAAAAAAGGGAAATGCTAGAGTTACAAACATATAGTTCACAAACATGCCTTTTGTAGATTTTAAATTAAAATATCTTTTATTATTTGAGTAGTGTATCTTATTTCTAGCAAAGTATTAGAAAGGCAAGTTTGTAAATTTTGTGAATTGTTTATTTGTGACTCTAGCATTACTTTAAAAAAATAAAAGTTCATGAATTCAAGTCAACATGTAATTAAAGTTTTAAACATTATTTCTAAACCTCACCTTTTATCTTTAAAATTAAATACTCCGTATGTAAAAAAACAAAGCAATTTAAAGTTTTATATGGAGCACATTTTAATTTTATTTTTAACATTCAAAAATTAATTGAGGCAAAAAGAAGGCTTACCGTACCATAACCAAAACAATTAAACTTAGAAAAAGAATAAAAACAATTAAATTTGCAAAAACAAAACAACTCAAACAATTAAATCTACAAAAAATTGGAGACTTAGCATAGCAAAAATGATTATTTTTTTTTTCATCTTGGAACTCTTGGTTGTAATTTACACATTTTGAACTCTCTGATTCGGTTCGGTTTTCATAGTCCAAAACCGAAAACGGAACAATCCACTACAAAATTTTGTGCAAATTGTGACGGAACATTTTTGTTGCAAAAACATTAATACGGTCGCAGATTCAACAATTTCGACGGAAACCTTCTGTCGCAAAAAAACTTATCGCATCTCACTAGTTTGCGACACAACTGCCTCATTTCTTTTTTGGTTATTTGCAACGGATTCTACGACGTTATTGGAATTCCATCGCAAATAGACTAGATTGCAGGCCACAGATTTCTGTGAAATTTTGTTTTTTACACGAAAACAATAACCTCACTGCAGCAACATATTTTACCCAAATAAACCAAATTGCAGCAGCATATCCAACAAGAATAACTATATAGACTTCATTTTTGCTCGGTTTTTCACATTCAGTTTTTGTTCTTTCAGTTCGATTTATTTTTTAGTACAATTCAATCAATTTTGATTTGGTTTTTAGTTTTTGGTTTTCCCAACCTACCACAAAGTAAAACACCCATGTTTTTTAAAAAATTAGAAAAACTAATGGTTGACATTTAAAATTTTTATTAAAAACATGTATTTTGTGAATAGGGTAATCTTCAAACTAGATCACTCTGAAAAAATATGGGGAGACAAACTTGTTGTAGATTTGCAATTTTTCTCTCATTCATACTAATAATAATCTGCAGGTGCAGTTCAACCACAAACACCATCTCCCTCAACCAAACACTTAAAGATGGAGATTTCTTATTGTCTAATTCAAAGTCTTTTGTACTTGGTTTCTTCACCCCTCAAAATTCCGCCGGCAACCGGCGATACATCGGAATCTGGTTTCAGCAAATCCCGGTGAAAACCGTCGTTTGGGTCGCTAACAGAGACAGCCCAGTCAACGGCGAATCCGGAGTCCTCTCCATCGACGCCGCCACCGGGAATCTCGTCATCCGCGACGAGAAAACCAACGCTTCCGTCTGGAGCACAAACCTCACCGGCGGCGCAAAACCGGGTTCTAATTTCTCCGGCCGGCTCCTGAATAATGGGAATCTGGTTTTAGGCCCGGAAGAGAAGGAAAGTCCTCCTACATGGCAGAGCTTCGATTTCCCGACAAACACTTTACTTCCGTCCATGAAACTTTCCATGGACAAGAAACCCGGCGGTGGCCGGCGGTTTCTCACGTCGTGGAAATCGGCCGATGATCCGGCGACCGGCCAGTATGCGTTAGGGATGGAGCTGAGCGGGACGGCTCAGGTGTTCCTCTACCGGAGTTGGGCCCAGATTTGGAGAGCGGGGCCGTGGAACGGCGTCGAGCTTAGCGGCTCGCCGGAAATCTCCCGATTTAACCCGGCCGTGAACCTCAATTACGCCGAAACCGACGGCGAGGTTAGCCTAACGTATTCTCTCCGCGACCAATCGGTACAGTCAATACTGGTGTTGAATGAATCTGGGACGGTGAATAGGCTGACGTGGCAAGGAGAAGATAAAGGGTGGGTCGGAATCTGGTCGGCGCCGGAAGACAAGTGCGACGTGTACGACGGCTGCGGCGCTTTCAGCAAGTGCGATTTGGCGGCGCTTGAGTGCTCTTGCCTTCCCGGATTTCAGCCCCGGTCGGGTCAAGAATCGCCCTCCGATGGTTGTACCAGGTATTCCAAACACACTTCTCATTCATAAAAATAAAAAAAATACTCAAAATACATATATATATATATATATATATATATATATATATATATATATATATATATATATATATATATATATATATATATATATATATAAACAAAAATTAAACAAAAATTATTAAGAGATAAGTTAAAAAAATGCAATGAAGTAGCACATAGCAGTAACCTCCCTTCCATTCATAAATCATAACCCCCACCTTTCCTTAATTCTCTTCTCATACAAAATATGGAAAACATTCCAAAAGAATTTTGGAGCTATGCTACTCCCTCCTTCCTATAATGATCTTCCCGGTTCGCAAAACGAAGAAAAATACTAAGTTTTTTCAATCTATTTTATTTAAATATTGGTATAGAAATAAAAAAAAAACATACATATTTAAAAACTACACCAAAAGTTCAACAAAACAAGTGGTGACAAGAATATTTTATTTTATCATATAAGCCATGAAAAACACAAATAAATATAAATTCCCGTGAAGTTGGAATAGTGCTCTGGGAAGATCATTATAGGACGGAGGGAGTATATCTTATCAAATTTATATTGTGAGCTCGCCTAAAAAATAATCTTAAGGAAAACTCTCTAGAGAACAGTAAAAAAAAGTCACCAAGATAGAAGTCTTTACTCTTTTAAGACAAAAATAGAAGTTCACACTGTTATTTTTACACTGCTAGAGTCATTTGCGCCGCTAGCCACAGATACTCATCACATACCCTATTACAGAGTCATCATGTTTGTTTCACACTGTCAACACTACTCTTACATCACGCTACCATTATCTTATTTTAGTTATTTTGGTATTTTCGTACTTTTTATTCTAAGCGAGAAGATTTATTATAATCTTATTAGGTGAGCTTAAACTATTACAAATTAAAAAAAGGGAAGAAGCATATAAATACTCCCTCCGTCTCAAAAAGTCTTTCCTGTTTCATTTTTTGCGCATCCCATAAAACACTTCTACCGACATCTAAAATGCCTAAAATTTACAACATTTCTTCTTTATTGTGGGTAGAAGTTATTTTGAAAGTTTTTTTGGCATTCAAGACGGGATAGAAGTGTTTTATGAGATGCGCAAAAAATGAAACAGGAAAGACTTTTTGGGACGGAGGGAGTGTATATATTCTCATTTATTTAGTCTATGGCATGGTCTTCACAGAGGGAACAACACAGATGCGTCGTCCTTGTGCCATAAGGGCGAGGGTTTCACAAAGCTGACAAAGGTGAAGATGCCGGACGCCAAAACAGCGGTGGTGAACCACCAGAGCATTGGGCTTGAAGAATGCAACCGAATTTGTCTGAACAACTGTTCCTGCACGGGATACACCACTGCAAATGTTAGCTCCGAGAGTGGGTGCATCACGTGGTATGGTGAGCTTATTGACATGAGAGAGTTGGTTAATGGCGGCCAAGATTTCTTTCTTCGAATCTCTGCTTATGATTTACGAAAACTTGAGAATAAATCTAAAGGGCATCGTAAGGTGGTCACAGTAAGTTTGGTTCTAGTGAGTGTAGCGGTGATTCTCCTACTTTGTTGTTTGGCTATGCATATTAGAAAAGGTAATTAACTATACTCTCATCTCTCACACCCATTTCTTTCTTCCAATTTGATTTTTCACGATCATTTATGCAATACTTTGCAGGTAAGCAGAGACGAAGAAATGCTAAGAATAAACATTTGCAGTTGTATGGGGAGTCTGTAATGGGAGAACACGTAGATGAAAACGGACTGGCCATCTTTGCTATCAAAACTATTCAACACGCAACTGATAATTTCTCTGTTGAAAATAAACTTGGCCAAGGCGGATTTGGTTCTGTTTACAAGGCAAAAACCTTAATTTCAACTTTTCTTATCTTCATTGTTTTCCATTCATGTTTAATTGGGAAACATGTGTTTCATATGGTTGCAGGGCATGTTGCCTAATGGACAAGTAGTAGCAATCAAAAGGCTCTCGAGAACATCAGGACAAGGCATAGAGGAATTCAAGAACGAAGTTACACTAATTGCAAAGCTCCAACACAGGAACCTTGTGAGGCTATTGGGATGTTGCATTCAACGGGGAGAGAAGATGTTGGTGTATGAATACATGCCAAACAATTCACTCGACCACTTTATCTTTGGTACATGTTTATATACAAATTCCTCATCTTAAATTATTGATGAAACAATATTATATTATCGTGTAGTTAAATGATGATTTTAGAATCATATTTTATCATATCGCAGGTACTAATAGAAGGGAGGAGGCCCTGGATTGGACAAAACGCTTTGATATTATCTTGGGGATTGCTCGAGGATTATTATATCTTCATCGAGATTCTAGATTAAGAATCATTCATAGAGATTTAAAACCAAGCAATGTTTTGCTAGATGCCTCTATGAATCCAAAAATATCAGACTTTGGAATGGCGAGAATTTTCGGAATTGGTCAAAATGCAGCAAACACAAATCGTGTGGTTGGGACATAGTAAGTGTTGTAACTTAACTTGAGCACATTTAACACTTGGATGGAGTCTTTGTTATATATATACTGCATGGTGACATTAATGATATATAAACATGGTTTGATCACAGTGGCTATATGTCACCGGAATATGCAATGGAAGGACAATTTTCAGTGAAGTCTGACGTCTTTAGCTTCGGTGTTTTGTTATTAGAGATCGTGTGTGGAAGGAAGAACAAAATGCCCGTGAAGGAAACATCTCTCAATCTTATCGGAGATGTAAGTATACTATTTTTAGCACGATAGTTATGCAATCGTTCATTAGAACCACAAGCATAAACATGTCAAAAGTGTTTTGTCATCACAACAAGTGCATCTCATGTATGTATGTTTACAATGGATTTATTTTTAGGTGTGGGGTTTGTGGAGAGATGGAAAAGCAATTGAAATAGTTGATCCATTATTGGGGGAGTCATATGAGAGTGAAAAGGTTTTGAGGTGCATCCATGTTGGGCTATTGTGCGTTCAAGCCATCATGCATGATAGACCGACCATGTCACAAGTGGTTTTCATGCTATGCAATGAAACTAAACTTCCAACCCCTAATCAACCAGGGTTTATTTTGTTAAGGCAGGAAAATTGTATTCCAAGCTCCTCAACAACATCTACTAAAAGTGACTCTATCAACAACATGTCTTTTACTAAATTAGAAGGGCGTTGACTATTACTCTTAGAAGGGCGTTAACTATTACTCATATGTACTTTTAGACTTGATAATAGGATACAATTCCTCACTTTAAGCGTGTGTGTGTGTGTAAGTGTATATTGGTTTCCAAACATATTCATATGATATGAGTGGAGGAATGATTTTTGGGTATTTGGGGTGTACTTGATCTCATAACAAATTTGGTATTTTATTTAATATCGTAACACTCGTGACATTTTTATGTGTTGTGATTTTTTTTGTTTTAGCACTTATAGTTACACTATATAGCATTCAAATGACCATGCTAGAGCATCTCGAGAATGCATGCTTTATCTTAAAATATATATTGTGAGAAGATGTTGTAGCTTTCATCTAACTCCAATGGGAAAGCTATAGTTTAGCAAGGAAGCTAAATTTGATGTTACAACCTCTATAAATAGAGGATACCACGAGAACGACTATATTCAATGGAGTTTTATTTAGGATGTAAACTTTATTTGAGACGTACACTTTCATCTTACTTAAATAAACAACTATAAATAGTATCTAGTTTTTTTATTTATAAATGATTAAAATATAATAAATGTGTATAGTATAAAAATTATGGTTGGAGTAGATGTTAAAAAGTGGATATTTAAAATACTATTGGAAAGCTAAAATAACTATTAGCTTCCTAAATTTTAACTCCTCCTTTGGAGATGCTCTTATTGGAGTACCCACATCCACTAAATATGAATGAATGAACCCGACCCTTAATAAAATAATAACTATGAGGTAAACCTCACATCTTGATACTTCCTAATGCCTAAAAACACTACCAAATGTTAATAATAATGTCAAATTGTGTATTACAATGTTAATCGTCAAATTCATGTAAAAACAAATAAAAATAATTTCACTTTGTGGGGATCAAACTTGACCGTGTAGGGAGGACCACATGGCCTAGATAATCTGCAGTGGACTTGGTACTCCCCAACTAATGGAACCCGAGTTGGAGTACAGACTAGGTTCACTTCACCAACGTAAAGGACTAATCTGGAAACATTCCTCCCAGCAGTAGAAGCCAAAAGGGGGGCAGGGTAGTCAATGGGACATGGCCCATTTTTTTGAGGGGGGCCCAGGTTATATATACTTTGTACTATATATATATATATATATATATATATATATATATATATATATATATATATATATATATATATATATATATATATATTACCCGAAAATAACCACCAAAATCAGTGGGGTAAGGTCCAGGCCACCCTTACCAATTTATTAGAGAACACAATTAATACACGTCCGGGGAGGACTAGACCGAAGCCCGAAAGTAAAACAAAAAAGAAAGTCAAAAGACAAACAAGAAGGTCAACCTCGGAGTCTGACCGACAAACACCCTCAATTACATCTCACGTAGATCACCTTCTCCCCCTTCTCTTCGAGACTACCTGCCATCTAAATCTGTAACCCAACCGATCGCAGAAGTGGAATCCTTCCGCCTTGAATCTCCTTCCCAGGCAGAAAGAACAGGTTAAAGCCCAGGTTAGTGAGATTGTTATCCAAGATCATCCATTTTTTCCTCCTCTTCTTCCAACTCCAGTCTCTTAGTGTTTCTAGGATATCCCGCTTGACCTTTGAAATGTTAGGCGAGTCTGATTCATTGATTATTCTATTGTATTCTTTCCAAATATGCCATACAATAATCCCTGGAAGGATGCCACGCAAATGTCCTTTGAGGTTATTCCTTCTTTGAGTAAGGTTCCATTCCAAAATGTGTTGATTAAGGTTTAAGTTGCTTCTAGGAGTAGGTCCATCTACTGCCTCTGCAAAGAACCTCCAAAGACCCATACTACACTCACACTGAAGTAGGACATGATCTTTAGATTCTTCCTTACTCTTGCATAGTGGGCATACAGAGGCTAGTTGCACCCCCATTGTCCTTAGCTTTTCTGGAAATGATAGTAATGAATTGATAACTCTCCAAAGGAAGAACTTTACCTTGGG